TTAAACAAAAGGATCTGCTATTGTGATACCATTTTGAAATTGGTATTTAGTAGGCATATTTTTAAATGAATGGGCACTGACAGCTTAGTACTAGTCTTGAATTAGCGTGATATGTTAAAAATTTGGGTTAAAAGTAGAGTGAAACCAATATTTTTCTTCAAAAGCTTTAAATTTACATTAAAAACATGTTATTTAACGATAGCTCTAGTATTCAGCAGTAATTACCAGTAATCAAAATGAAAAAATAATGGTATTTGTTAAAACTACAACCAAATTTGTAACAAGAGGTACACATATCGTAAAAAAATTAAAAAAATATATATTTCCGAAACCTTTGGGTAAAAATGGATACAATTGTAATATGTTATAGTAAATTATCTGGTTTATAGAATCCTTAATGGTGGACCACTATTTACGCCACACCCTGTATAACTGTTTGTTGCCAAAATAAAAACAATTGATCGTGCTCATCACACAATCATTTGTCCTGGGTGGGAAACGAACCCGTGACCTTTGGCTTAGCAGTCAGGGTCACTAACCACTAGACCAACAAGCTCATTAGATTCCTTTACATACAAGTACATATACATCACATCAGACATCAACAGCCTTTAATAGTCCACTGCTGAACATAGGCCTCTTCTTAGAAAGGAGGTTTTGGCCTACTATACCACGCTGGCCAGACGGGTTGGTATAGGGTTTGTGCCAAGTTTTCCTTCTCTCTACAGTGCTGTTGTCCTGCGTGGTTTGCTCCCTTAGTCGCCTCTTACGACACCCACGGGATGAATAGGGGTGGTGACACTCTGTATTCTTAATCCGTCACCACACGGAACACATATACATACCAAGCCAATAATTAAGTAAAGTGGCATTGAGAATTCTAGAGGCGTCTGTAGCCACAGCGCTCACATTCATAATGTAAAACGGAATCCTTTTACTGCAGAAAGAGCTGCTAAAATAATGTTTATTTGATATAATTGGAATAAAATATAAAAATATGTTGTACATAAGTACCGATGAACATGTGAGACAACTCCTCAGGCAAGTTCACCGGTCACAATTGACGATAATAAAGGTGAGGTCGAGGCATCATCTCTGTAGAGGACCAACATGAGGATACGAATTACATTATTTCGTTGTTTGTACCAATTCTGAGAGTGATTGATTCACATATTGCATGTTCATTTTTAACAATAATTTGCATGTACTTATTTGTTTTATTTACAAAATTAAACCCAGCTTGAGAACTAGTCGGGGTGTCAGAGGTTTTCATTTCGATTCTGGACGGAATTTAATGAAATCTGGCGGAAACATAGCATGGCATTGCCCTCATAGTGACCCATTAATAAAGTTAGAATGGACGAGGTCTAGAGGATATTTTTTATTTCAAAATTACTTTTAAATCCAGGTTTTTTCAGTTATCTCGCAATATATCTATACTAATATTATAAAGCTGAAGAGTTTGTTTGTTTGAACGCGCTAATCTCAGGAACTACTGGTCCGATTTGAAAAATTCTTTCAGTGTTAGATACTCCATTTATCGAGGAAGGCTATAGGCTATATATCATCACGCTAAGACCAATAGGAGCGGAGCACCAATGAAGAATGTTTCAAAAACGGAGACAATTTATTACTATTGAGAGACGCAGACGAAGTTGCGCGGGTCAGCTAGTCGGAAATAAAGCACTGTAGCGAAAAACTTAAATACAAAAGTTGTTCAGATGATGATTTTACGTAGGAATTATATATTTTAAAGAGTTAGAAAAGAAAATAAATACTACCGAAAACACGGGGTAAAGTTGTAAAAAGCGAAAAAATTAAGGCAGAAATTATTTTTCAGCGCTGATATTAGGATATTAGTATTTTTAACTAAATGCGCCCCATGCGCTTTTTCACAAGAAATTTGGCGACTTATTGCAACATTGTTAATTTGAAAGTTTAGAACCTCAAAAACCTCGCTTAAACCCACTTTCACCCAATGGGTTTCAATCCTTAGTCCAATCTATAATAAGAACATAGGATTTTGGGGATTCTTGGAGGTTCGCCTAATCAGTAAAATTGTAATTCGTATGCCCTCTGTCTCATTTAGGGGATACAGAACATTAAATAGTGATTTTGTTATAAACTATTTTCCATAATGATTTAATAATGTAACTTTAATAATGTATAAAAAGAGGAACAGTACAAAATCTTGATAGGATACAAATATAAACTCCTGAAGCTTATTTTTATACAGACTTTTCGTATGAAAATAATATCACCATAATAAATTATTGCACGCTTTTTCAAAAAGATCTTCAGACAACAGAATACCGCCATATTCTAGATAATATTTCCTCTTCCTCTCCTGCCGACATCTGGAAGTTCCTTGGAACTCTTGACTTTTAGACTAGTAGACTTTTCACAATCCATAAGTCTCGATTCCCTAAAAGAAACACTTCACCACTTCTTTCACGTTGAAAAGTCTATCTGAAAAGACCTAACTTAAGCTCTTTTCACTTAAGGCCGGTCGCAGAAGAAGTGATTAAGAAGATCATCCTGTCTATCAAATCCCAAGCGGTCGATTGTGATGGCATTAGTCGGAGGATGATCACCACATGGCTAATCCACCTCCTTACTGCTGTCTCCCATATTGTAAACTTCTCCCTTATGCACATTTCCTTCTCTGTGGCGGAGACCGTACGTGCGCCCGTTGTCTAAAATACCTAATCCGTCTCTTCCCATTCATTTTCGTTCAATTTCTATCCTTCCCTTTTTCTCCAAAGTGCTCGAAGCCTGCGTCCATAAACAGTTCTCCCATTTCATTTACAGTAACAATTAACTCAGTCCTTTTCAGTCAGGGTTTCGACCAGGCCATAGCACGGTTCCCGCTCCTCTTAAAGTGACTGGCGACATTAAGGTAAGGATGGAGAATACTAAGGTTACTACCGTAGTACTAGTCGATTTTTCCAACGCCTTTAATACCGTCAGTCATGAGCTCCTCCTTGCTGTTCTGTCCCATTTCTCGGTCTCTCAAGAAGCACTGGACTCATTTTCCTCTTACCTTCGGGATCGCCAGCAGTCAGTCAGTATGGAAGATTCTTTCTCTGGCTGGTGTGATCTTGCTGCTGGCGTCCCTCAAGGCGGTATTCTTTCACCTCTTCTATTTTCCATCTTCATTAACCTTATCACCCTTAAACTTTAGTGTTCCTCAAACAGAGTTGTGCAAAATATCGTCCGCGGTTTCGGTTGTATAAAGCGACCTGGCGGCCATTAAACACTGGTCTGATATGTTTGGTGTACCGGTGAATCCGAATAAATGTCAGGCCGTTTTCATCGGGAGTAACCGTGGTATGAACCAGCTCGATCTTAGTACACTTCCCCCTCTTATCTACGATGGTATGGTCATTCCATATTGTGAAAGCGTGAAGACCTCGGGTTGTATATTGACACGACTCTTAGCTGGCGGAAACAAGTTGCATCTGTGTGCCAGAAAGTCACGAGCTCTGTAGGCTTAAGAACTTTCTGCCATTGAAAACTAAGACAATGCTTGTTCAGACTCTAATATTCCCTGTTATCGTCTATGGTGATGTGTGCTACTTTGACCTGAATGCATATCTATTCAATAAGCTTGACCGCCTTCTCAATAATTGCATTCGATTCGTTTTCAATTTACGCAAATATGATCACGTGTCTCAGCATCGCTCCCTTTTGAAGTGCTTCCAATTCGCCGACGCAGAGAGAGACGAGCATTAACTACCCTATATTCTTTTCTCCTAGTTCTTCCTGCTACTAACTACTCAACTTCATTATTGAGGTGCAAACCACGTTAAAACTCTTAGATCTTCAGGCAAGCTACTTCTTCACTGTAACACTCACCGCTCTGACTTCGTTCATTCTACTTTCCTGGTACAATCTGTCCTGTTCTGTTTTTGAACGCGCTTCCTCTCGAGACCAGGTTGGGTAAAACTCGGCAAACTTTTAAATACCAGTTGCGGAAACATTTATTAAACTCCTTGTCAAATCGACCTTAATTTTCTGCTCTCTCTAGAATTTATTTTGTGGGTATATATATATATCTTCTTAAATATAAAATTCTCGTATCACAATGTTAGTTACCATACTGCTCCGAAACGGCTGTACCGATTTTTATGAAATTTGTGTGCACATCGGGTAGGTCTGAGAATCGGCCAACATCTATTTTTCATACCCCTAAAAGACAAGGGACAAAGACCCACCCCTAAATTTTTTCTTCACTATTTCCTAGACAAAATGTACGTATATGGCAAAACAACGTTTGCCGGGTCAGCTAGTATATATATATATATTTTTATATGTATGTAGATACTTTTGTAATATGTGTGTCATTATCACTTATTGTAAATGTATTATTAAGTAATGATTATTATAATATAATTAATGTAAGTACTCTGGGTATGTGATATCCTAGTATGCTATATTTTTCATAAAATCACATTTTAAATTTCTGTGCCATCTACCATGATTTATCTCTGTAGCGCCCTAAGGTTAACTGGGAGAAAATGCCTACGGCATTAAGTCCGCCTTTGTCACGTTTGTGCATAAAGTATAAATAATAAAAAATATGTTCATTTAACAACGGTAAATAATTACCAGAATTTACTAAAATGTTTTTCAATCATTCATGGCCTTAATATGTATTTCAATTTTCTGTTTTAAGTCATCGTAAATTTTAATTTAAAACGCTACACGCCATGTTGCTTAGTCATCTTGTAGTCATATCGGGAGTAAAAACATAAATTATACCGATTTTGCTAACTTTAATGAGGTAATTTTATTATGATTGATTCATGATGATTAATAATTTAGAAAAACAAAAATCGTGATTAAAGGGAAAAAATACCGCCATGTAAAGCCATTTGTGTGGGTATACTGCACTGCACTGCATTACACCCGCTGCACTCCAGGGAAGGCCCTGGAGTGCAGCGTTTATTAATTCCCTATTATTTTATCACGAAAAGAAACCACAGACATTTTTTTCTTTATTTCCAATTATTTTTTATATACTGCAATATTTGATGCAGGCCTTCTTTTCCACCACTGCCATCAATAAATTCTACCTCTAATAAAATATCTTTATCTTTTCTTAACAATTTGAAAAATGCGTGGATTAACGGATTGCTCTTAGAGCACTCTGTGGATTCTTTTTCTTCATTGTGTGTACTTTTTTCTGAATTATCCATACAATTTTCTAAAACTTTTGATGATATTGAAACACCATTTTCTGGTTCTTCTATCTCGTGGTCTAATTTAGATATCTTGGATTGATGTTCTGGTCTTTTCTGAAGCCTTCTTTTTCGTCGTTGATTGGACCAAGTATCTTTGTTTGCTATTATTTCAAGCACTACATTGCTACCTCTTTTCTCGAGTAGTGTATGCCTAATACTGAGACTACTTAACATCTCTTTTATTTTATCTTCGGCTACTTTTATACTGTAAGTGCATTTTGATAACTCTGGTAAGAGATATATAGTTGGCGTTTGTTTTTTTCTTGGTTTGTTTCTTGGAGGAACTGAAAAAAATTCACAGGGATAATTAGAAATTCATTTTCTTTGTTTAATAATTCGCAATAATAATAAAAGTATACAATAGTAAATAGTAATACCTAAATTATATACATCGTATTCCCTATACGTCCAAGCCAGCCCCCATCTCGTAACACGTCCTTGACAAAACTCAGTGTGGGTATGCCTGATATTTTCTGTTTTTAAATCTTGTACTAGTACAATTAAATTGTATTTGTGACCAACCATTGTCGTAAATATTCTGAAAATTAAAAGCTATATTAATACAAGTAAAACATTACTAATTGAAATTCTTTATAAGAAACACATATGCGTAGTAAAAGTAATAATAAAAGAGAATAATGAAAGTGTTTAATTATGTTGACAATTTATTGTTAAAGCTATATAAAGTGCGCTTGTCCACCGCCTCTGTCATGCAAGAATTTAAGCGTTTCGTCGCACGTCGTCTATATCGCGAATCGTCCATTTTGCATATGATATACTTTATGTATGTATATATATGTATAATTAAATTAGAAGGATTAAGGCCATGACGACCTCCACGTGGTGAGATTCGCCTCGCAATAAAAATGCATATAATTACAAAATAAACAACGCAAGCCATGAATATTGGACATTCTGCGAAGTGAAAATTTTGCGAACTGGACCGATGGAGAATTATACTCTTTTGCGCCTGCTAGATATTTTGCGAATTGGATATTCTTTGACTAATCAATAAAATAAAATATATATGGTAAAATGTATATCACGCCATGCGTTCGGCTGTTATGATGCCGAGGAATAATAGTTCAATGGTGCTGTCCTTTCGTAGTGCAATATGATTAAGTGAAATGAATTTCAACATTCTGATGTTAATTATTACAAATAAAACTCATTATGGCCTTAGACTTTTTTACGTGTAAAAATTAATCATTCAGTTTAAGCAAATTAGTGTCAACATTCTTACTGTCGAGTTTTTACTCTTTAAATAGGCCTTTACTATGTTATGTGATTGATTTGTTGGATTAGCGATTTTAAGGAGGCTGAGGATTTTTGTACTCACATTATGTTATCCTTATACTTTTTGCTTTCTCTAATTAACTTTCTACAAAATTCTAATTCTCCTCCCTCAGTAATTAGTTCTTGAGGAGATCCAGTAAATCCATTTTTGGGTGGAAGTCTGAAATTTTTTAAGTATATATTTAATCATTATTCAATGTTTTAAGAAAACACAAAATTATTTGTTTACAATTAGCATTTAGTTTACGTAGCACATATAATAATACAGACCTGGCTGGGCTACGAGATTCGCACAACTCCTGAACGTTACTGTAAAATGGAGGGTTGCACATACAGAAATCAAACACTAGTTTTTCTTCAGTGAAGACATGTGCAATAATTGATTTAGATGTATTTTCTTTCACTGTAAGCAAAATAAACATAAACAATCATAACATATTATTTAACTTTCATTTTTTTTTTATAGGGATGTATCTATTGTCACTCGTTTGGGGGAGGTATAAAGTAATAATTTAAAAGTTTAATTTTATTTCTATGGCGCAAATTGAGAGGTGCCTACATCCAGCAATTCTTCACTCATTTCAGTTAATTGAATGGAACAATCTATAGTCAACTGAATAATTGCAAATGACAGACTCTATAAATATTTTATCCTCTTTACATAGTAACACTGTCGTGGTAAAGGATGTCTCAATAACAGTGCACTTTTTCATTTTAAAACAAAAACACGGATTTTATAAAAGAGTTGTGATATTTTTATTGGATTGTAAAGAAGACATGTTCCGATTAAGTATGGAATAAAATATCCGGCAAATGGTGGTGGCGGGGTGGGCTTCACGGCTCTGACGACAGGTCATTACCCTTTTCAAGAAATTTTAAATGACTTTTACACAGAGATGTGGCTGTATCTCTCCGATGACGCGAAGCTTTTCTGTATGAAGAATTGGAACCAATAGTACTTTGATCCTTAATTCTCTGGTTAGAGAATATTCTAGTAAATACAAAATTTGACTGCACAGAAGGCGTAGTGGTTTAAGCGGTTTAACACGCCGCTTCCTACTACGCCGAGTGTTGTAGGTTCAAAACCCACATGTATGATCCACAAATTGTTGTTCTGAGTATGGGCGTTCTTTGTGTCCATTTCATCCCGCAACACAGGATATATTGCTCAAGCAGGAGTTGTCTTTTTTTTAAAAACATGAGAAAAAAAAAAAAAAAAAAATGATGTTGAATAAAACTCACATGCTATAAGCTCTGTTAAGCCATTTCTTTGTACATTTTCTTTAGCCTTCAATAAACTTTCTGTGTCCATTTCTGTTCCTACCATGCTCCATTTGTTCTTAACAGCAGCTAGCAAAGGATAAATAGCACATGCTCCGGTACCTAGGTAGATCAGACATTATTAATTAAACCTGGCATACAATGTATTGTTACAAGCAAATAATGAATGACCTAAAAACTTTTATTTTATAGTTAGTAATAATATAAATGGAGTAAGTTGTGAACTTACTTGAATGTCTTAAGCTCATATTGATGCTTGAACTAAATTTAAAATATATATTTACACAAGTTTTTAGTGTGCCATAAAATTTATAATACCATCAAGAGTAATAGAGATAATTATGTGTCTGCTGTTACATGAATAATTCATATTTACACCTCAACTATTCAACTGATCACCGTAAAATTTAGCATACACATTGTCAAGAGTACATCAAGAAAAATTATGCACTTGTCTCGGCCAAGATGCATCCAAACAGACAGGACAGCTTTGCAAAGGCAAATGCCTCAAATGGCTGCACGTTCTAGTGGACGTACCTCATAACTAGCAGTACCCTACCATACTTCTCTGTGGCACATTGCACATTCTGGTTGCATTTACGACTGACAAAAAAATATATAAAAGCAATCTCTAAAGCAGTTAGTATATCATGTTTAAATTTTAGCTTTATCAGTGTACAACTTTTTGAGTTCTTGAAGTGTACACAAACAAACTTAAATTTATTAAATATGAAGATTAATAAATATATCCACAATTTACCTATATCAAGCCCCTTTATGTCACTGCTTCTTTGTATTGATGTTAATAAATCTTCCAACCATAATATGTAATTAAGTCTTAAGGGAAGTGTAGGGACCAACCTGTCCTCTGGAATCTCCACATTCAGATTAAAGTCAGTTTTCAATAAACACTTAGTCAATATTCTGAGTGAATTGGCATCTTTGAAGTCAATAGTAACCTTACCTGTTACATCCTGCAACAAAGTACAAATAATAACAATAAGGGTAGAAATATAATATTCTGGGACATATTACATAGGTATGCTATAGTTACTTGAAGAGATGATCATACTTGACTTATTTTTTTCAAAATAAAAATAATCACAAAAAGAATAAATCGTGTTCAAGAAATGAATTACCGTTTTTGAAATAGCCGAAAACTCTGGATCTAACTTAGCTAACCTCCCGAAATCAGGTCGTATTTTATATGTATTACGAGGATGCATAAACTTATTCAGAGCCATATCAGAGTCAGTTGGTGTCTATATAAATCCCAGACTTGCAAGAGAACTAGAACATATATCAGTAATAAGTACTCTATAATCTCAATTATCTCATATTATTCCTTATACTCTATTTGAAATTAGAATACAAATAATAGGTACAATAGTTATTATTTTTAATTCAACTTCAACTTGAACTTTTGGTTAATGGAGTACTCTGTGGTTAATGGCTTTGTGGTAGAGTGTAACCACAATTTCGCCAATGTCAATTGTCATGTATTTGAAAGACTAACTGTCAAAGGATTTTATGTAAAGCTGTGGTATAAGCCAAAAAAAAATTTTGAGAATGAAATAAAACTTAAACTAGTAAAATATATATACTAATAATAATATATATACATATACAAAATAAGAAATAACCATTAAAACAAAAACAAATATTACACTGTGATATTGAAACTATAATTTAATTTTGTTTAAAGTTATACACTTACCTAAAATGGATACAAAAGGAGTAAAAACGCGAGATAAGAGTAATTTAAGGGACGTGGGATGAGGAATATGATTTCCCTCATCAAGCCCACACTCACAAATAGAGCTACCTATCCCTAATTCTGAGTTTTGCCAAAAATACTGGTGTGCATGAGTGATTTAGTCTTAACCGACAAATTATAGAAGTGGTGTCTTTATTTTATTTTTTAAATTTAGCAAACCAGGGCTTAAGTGGAATTTCTGGTTGTATATCGCCGAAAAAATGGCCTCTCACAGTTTTCGACACGCGCCACAGCCTGGACCACAAGTCAAACAGCTGTGATTTAAGGGATGAACAAATATCATCATCATCTGCCTACCCTTTTCCCAATTTTATTTGGGGTCGGCGCAGTATGTATGATTTTTCCATTCTACTCTGTCATGCGTCATCTCACTGTTTACTCTCTTGCTAGCCATATCCTCCCTCACGCAGTCCATCCACCTTTTCTTCGGTCTGCCTCTTCTCTTATACCCTTCAACTCTCATACCTAAAACTTTCTTCGCCACATTTTCCTCATCCCTCCGCATGACATGTCCATACCAAGATAACCTATTACTTCTTAACTTTTCATCCAGTGGCGCTACTTTCAGACTCCCTCGTATATACTCATTCCTAACCTTGTCCATCTGAGTCACACCACACATCCATCTCAGCATTCGCATTTCGGCTACGTTCAGGCGTCTCTCATCCGTTCTCTTAATGGGCCAACTTTCAGAACCATACAGTACGGCAGGTCTGATAATAGTTTTATAAATTTGTCCCTTCAGTTTTAAGGGGAAACTGGGGTCACAAGTTGTTCCCGTTACCTGCCGCCACTTCATCCATCCCGTATTGATTCGATGCTGTACAGTTCGATCAATCTCACCATCACATTGTAAGAGGGAGCCGAGGTACTTGAAATTGGAGCAGACTGTTATCGCTATCCCATCCAGCGAAATGGTTTCAGGACTGGAGAGACCGCCGAAATCGCAGAACATGTACTCAGTTTTGGTTCTGCTGATTTTCAAGCCAACATTCTCCAGCCTTTGTTGCCATTTTTCCAGTCTGCTCTGGACCTCAACCCCATCCTCACCGACCAACACAATGTCATCTGCAAATAGCATGCACCAAGGTGCCTCCTCCTGTATGTCCGATGTCAGAGCATCCATTATCAACAGGAAGAGGTATGGGCTCAGAGCTGATCCCTGGTGCAAGCCTACAGAGACACTGAATTGATCAGTGTTTCCCGTGACCGACCTTACATGAGTGCTAGACTCTCTGTACATAGCACGAATCAATTCTACATACTTAACAGGCACTCTTTCTTCTTTCAAAGCCCACCACAAAACCTCTCGGGGTACCCTATCATATGCCTTTTCGAGATCCACAAACACTATATGCAAGTTTTTGTGCGCACTCCTGTATTTCTCACATAGTTGGCGCATTGCAAATATAGCATTTGTTGTCCCGCGTCCTGGCATAAACCCAAATTGACTTTGGGTTATCTGACTCTCATCTCTTATTCTTCTCTCAATCACTTTCTCCCAGACTTTCATAGTATGTGACATGAGCTTTATTCCTCGATAGTTGTTGCATTCCTGAACATCTCCTTTGTTTTTGAAAATGGGTACGAGTTGGGTTTGACACCATTCCTTTGGGATTACCTCTTCAAGCAACAACATATTGAAGAATAGAGTCAGCCACTTATATCCGTCTTCTTTCAGTAGCTTCCAAACTTCCACTGGTATACCGTCGGGGCCAACTGCTTTTCCATTTTTCATACTTCGTACTGCCAATCTAACTTCATCTATACTAATCTCGTTCACCAGTCCGACATTCACATCCACATGCTTTAGCACTCCGCTCCATTTATTCTCTTCATTCATAAGTTTTTCAAAGTAAGATTTCCATCGCTTTTTTATATCTTCATCTTTAACCAACACTCTCCCCTCTTCATCTTTTATACATCTCACATGCTTCAGGTCTTTTGCTCTTTCTTCCCTGTTCTTTGTAATGCGGTAGAGTTCTTTTTGACCGCTAGGTTCATGTAGGTGTTTAAATATGTTATATTGAGCTTTAGCTCTGGCTACCGCTACCGCTTTTTTTGCCTTTTTCTTCCACTCTTTATATTTATTCATTTTGACTTCCTTCATTCTCTCACAGACCTTTTCATTTTTCCACGCTTTAAAGGCATCCTTCTTTTCTTTTAGAGCTTTCTGTACCTCATCACTCCACCACCATGTCTCTCTTTCAATAATGCCTTTTCCTTTTGTTTCCCCAAGTACTTCTCTCGCTATCTTTCGTATATAATTTGCCATTTCACTCCACCATCCATCCACAGACTTATCTAGCCTTGCATTCATTTCAATCATTTTTTCTACCACCTTTACCTTAAAGTTACTTGCATACTCTTCTTTCTCTAACATTCGCCACCTGATTCTTGGAGAAGGTCGGTTCTTCCTACTCTTACTCAAACTCTTCCATTTGACCACCATTACCAGCAATCTATGTTGCGATACTACGGGTTCCCCGGGCACCACTTTGCAGTCTCGGACACAAACCAACTTACTTCTTTTTATGAGAAAGTAGTCGATCTGTGTCGCGTGGCTACCACTTTTATACGTGATCAGATGTTCGTGACGTTTTTGGAACCATGTGTTAACTATTGCCAGGTCAAACGAAGAGGAAAACTGGAGCAGAGACTCACCATCAATGTTTCTACTTCCGAACCCCCTTCCTCCATGTACTCTTTCATAATCCTCATTCGTTGTTCCCACATGACCATTAAAATCTCCACCTATCAAAAGTTCTTCACTTTCAGGGATACCTATCAAAACCATGTCAAAATCGGCCCAAAATTTTTCTTTCACTTCATCCTTGCATCCAGCTTGAGGTGCATACACGCTAACAATATTCATAATTACGCTCTCCCATACTAATTTTAATACTATTATTCTATCGTTCACTCTCTTTACATCCGTCACACACTCTTTCAGGGCACTATCCAATACTACGCCCACTCCATTTCTCTTCCCATCACTTCCGCAGTAATAAAACTTGTACCCCTCTCCTATCTCTCTTGCTTTCGTACCCTTCCATTTTGTTTCTTGCAAGCATGCCACGTTTATTCTTCTTCTTTTCAACACATCTGCTAGCTCTCTCGCTCTTCCAGTCATAGTCCCTACATTCCAACTTGCATACCTCATCCTCACCTCTCGGGCTTGCTTCTTACGTTGCACCCGCCTCGGGTGGTGCAACAACCCTTGTCCACTTATTCGCGTAGCCGGGTGCTGCTGCCGCGCGTCGCCTACGGGGTACGCCCTAGCACTGTCGCACTCAATTTCCATCATACTTATACTGCATTATAGTGGTTTTGGCTAATTAATTTTTATGGCCGGCCGCCTGCCTGTCGCCAACCCTCCTTGGGAATGTAGTCGTTTAAACGATAGGGAAGGGAAAAAAGGAAACATCAGGGGTGAGGGGATTGGATGAGAGAGGAAAATTAGGGTGGGGGAATACCGCAGTACTAGGATGGGAGACAGGACTTAGACTGCGGTATGTACCAATATCCAGCGGTTGGAGAGGCCACCAGGACAAGTACCGCACGAACTGTATATTTACTGTCTGATGATAAACAGTCCAAAGATTCCCTCAGTCGCCTTTTCCGACACCCACGGGAAGAGATGGGTTGGCCTTATTCTACTCCGCCGAGAACCACACGGCAGGGATGAACAAATATCGTAAGAGTATATTTCTGTATGGTCATGAGAGCCTGTATAAACAGCATTTTTTGCCCATGAATCTGCAGTCTCATTTCCTGGAATTCCTGCGTGTCCAGGAATCCAGGCTAAGACAATGTTTATGTTCAGTTTTTGACATTGAAATAAAAGATGTCTAATCTATCTATCTGATAGAATAGATTGAAGGCAGCTTTTGGAATCCGAAAAAATTATACTCTTGTTTAAATTATGGGATTTTATAAAGGAAATAGCTTCTAAGACTGCTATAGACTCACCAGTGAAGACAGAAGAAGTAGCGGGACATTTATAATTTAGAAATATGCTAGTAGAAGGAATCCAGATAGGAGAACCAACTGGGCCATTTGATGAGATTTTGGAAGCATCTGTAAAAATTAGACGCCAATTATTATAATTGGAGGTAATTTTATTAGTGAATAGACTTTTCGCTTATATTGAGCACTTGTTGATACCCAAGTCCAGAATGATATTTGGTTGAAATACCAACGCTTCGTATGGCGTACAAAAAAGAGGTAACGTGGAGTTTTGAAATAAAGGATTGATGAGACGGGTGAATTGCTGGTGAGCAAGAAGAAGGCAGGGGATAATTTTATTAGAACGTCGATCGAGATTATTCAATAAAATAGATAGCTGATCTAGTTTAGGATGGAGCGGATGGTCAGCATTTTGGATAAGTTTGAAAAAGAATCTGTTGGCTAGAAATTGTCTACGAAGAAAAAGCCACATTAAACCTGTATAGCGTTAATAGGGGAGGATTTCATCGCTCCGAGAATAATGTGAAGATATTTAGACTGAATTTTGTCGAGTTTTTGGAGGCCAGATTTATTTATGAGCTCTAAAACAAATAATCCAGGTGACTGCGTCAACATAATCAGTATGAGACACACCTGTCAGTCTGGAATCCAACCACACCCCAAGGAATTTAACTTTATCATACTGCGGAATGACTTCACCAAGGACTGAGATGCCAACTTGGGGAATCATTCGCTTTTTGGTAAAAATTACGACCGAACTCTTTTAGGCCGATAAAGAAAGACCATGGCGAAATAACCACGACGATAATAAACTGAGCGCACTTGACAAATTATCAATAATTGCCTCAATAGATTTATTAGGAAAATACAAAACTAGATCGTCAGCGTATTGGAGAATTTGAGCATAAGGACCTATCGACAACTCTAAGTCATATGTATAAAGGCTGTACAGAAGAGGACTTAGAACCGAGCCTTGAGGTAAGCCCTTCCATATCATTCTAGGTGATAGCGAGTAGTCCCCACTATTGATTGTGATAGATCTTTTCGAGAATAAGCTACAAATAAAACAGGCCAATTTTTCGGGAATTCCAAGTTGGTAAATCAGTTTATTTTTGAGGATTGGAATCAGGACGTTGTCATAGGCTGAAGTTATATCAAGAAAAACTCCACCTAAGTATTCCTTTTTAGAAAAGAGATTCGGATATCAGTCGTTAATAAGCTGAGACTATCCATTGTGCTTCTACCCTTTCTAAACCCATATTGAGATTTCCCTAACAATTTCCTGTTTTCTACGAACCATTCAAGGCGATGTTTTATCATATGCTCTGTGACCTTACATAAAACAGAAGACAACGCTATAGGTCTGTAACTATCTGGGTCTTGCTATATGCTGTATGCTGGAAAATATTCTAAAATCAAAACAAACATCGAAAACTTACTACGATTCCCGAACCAGAAGACCGCCTCAATACAAAGCTGGTGATTTCGTTTACCTTAGAAATCATTTAAGACTCAGAAAAGTTCTGTCTCCCATTTGGAAAGGACCATACAAAATAATAAAGGTTCACAACAACAACACTGTCACACTCCTGATTAACAGAAGACACATAAGACACCATTTTGACGAAATCAAACCTACAGAAATCTCACAACCTTCTACTTCTACTACTACGAGTACTACTTAAATTCAAAAGAAATATTCATTTATTTCATTTTCTTTTCAGCGCTTCAACTTATGCGCATCCAGACTCTGTCGAGCCATACCCTTCTAACTCTGGTATCTTCTTCGACACCATAACACAAACTTAAAATCACCAAAGGCGAATTAAATATAGTTAGTTACGTAGATATCTCTTATATAAGTCCGCATTTAACCAACTTAAATGAAATTATAACATCGGTTAGATTACCATTATTAAGATTAAGAAACCAATTACTAATAATCAATGGATTTTTGTGCAATCGCGTCCAAACAAAATCTCTATAAAGTGTGGTGTCACCGAACTAAAAGAGATAATAGTGGTCGGCACCGGAATCCTTCAAACCCCCAATCAGTGCACAGTGTATACAAAAAGCGCAAGACTTATTTCCCCTATTAACTCTATTAATATAAGTGTCCCTAGTCCTAATTTAGATTTTAACATTATTAATGACTCATGTTGTGTATTAAATGGTAGTTTACTAACTAATGTTATTCCTGTTAAGTTAAATAACATAGATTTGGATGATCTAACTGTAAAAACTTACTATGATAACTTGTTTCTCGACCTCAGGAATATTATAAATAAAAAACCTGTATTTTCGAGTTACGAGACTCGTCACACTGTTTTCACATCAATTATTTCTTGTATTGTATTTTCTTATGTATTGTTTAAACTTAGTAAAATTGTTTATAAATGTAAGAATAGATTTAACAATTCAAATTCAAATCCGACCTCTACCGATAACGATGATAACTTTTAAAGTAGGGATTCACTCCTACCATTGCCGCGACTGAGGGAAGTCGCCTAACTATTCCTGAACTTCGATTTCCCCTCGAACTTCAGTTTTCCGCGGGGGGTTGTTACACCCTGTCGATGTAGGCATTAGGGCTGACTAACAGACCCTGGTTTTGCTGAGCCAGCATTGATAAAATCGATATAAGCACCGGGTACGTTCCAGCCTGCAGATATTAAAATTTCAAAATAATAAAAATTTCATTTTATAGATCTCAATTAGCCCTTTCGATCTACGTTAATTAATTTATAAGCCCGTTTTTCGTTTTACCAGGAAAAATAGAAATATAATTATATAATTTTCAATTTTCCTCTACTTAAAATAGCCATATATCTTTGAAAAATGATTATTTTTTACTCTACCAAGCGTGAAAAAATTGCCCTTACGCTAATTTAATTTGCCCGCGTGCTAATTCTTAAAAATATTCAATAATTATTATTGTAAACCATAAAAAACCGTCATGGCATTTCCCAGCCAATTATTTGCGCATTGCGCATGCGCGACAGAATAAAGGTGATACTCACATCGTCAACTGCAGATCAGCTGATGCTACACGCACGGAAGGACTTTAAAAGTTATTATATTACTGTTTTGGGAAGTTTTTCAGTACTATTGGATTCATTATTATGTCGACTTACACGGAATTTTGCATTCTAATGTTTTAAGAATAGAGTATATTTTAACACGTTGAACGCCACACAAAAAGCAGGTTGTTTCATTGGAGTAATGGGGGACACCGGTGGGCCAAACCATGTTAAGCTGTTGGAGCAACGGGGGTCACCGGTGACCCAAAGGAGGACTTCGATTCAAACCTGTTTTACAGGCCACCAAGCAAAGATATCATACAAAAATGTTAGCGAGTGAGCCGCGAGACCCTATAGAACAATCTAGTCAGCTTGGTTTTCGTGTGTTGCAAAAGACTTAGAATATATTTACGATTTTCATTACTTTTTTGGGGTTTTTCTAAACTTCATACACAACAAACTGGTAAAAGGGGTTTTTATAGAAAAAAATAATTGAATCTAAACGTAATATTTTTATTATTGATATTGTATAAATAGTTTTTAAAAGTTTAACACTTATTTTGTTATAGGGCTCAAAAAAGAACACCAAGAACTTACATTTTAATAGGTTTCTTAAGTCCTACAACTTAACACAAGTTTCTTAAGTCTTATCTTTCTCTCTCTCTTAAACAAAGGTTAAATTATTTATTAATGGCAAAATAAAAAGTACCTACTTTATGTAAGTAAAAGAAAAAACAAACTGCACTAAAATTCAAATAAATCTCTAAAAGAGATCTAACAAAATCAGTCTGCTAAATGGCGCCAGTATATGACACACCCATAAATGAAAAATAAAATATTTTAGGAGTGAATTTTGTTAAAATATTCCAAACACAACCACGGTTTATTTAGACAACTTGTGCAATAAGTTACCACCTTTTTTGATTTATTTTTGGCCAGTTTTGTACCCATTATCTTAGCATTTTCCTTGTAGCATTGTTGACAGGTTCGTCTAGCTACTCTAGCTGTACCATCTTTCTTGGCCAAAATATGCGTCAGTCTCCTCGGCCTATATACTGTCACAACTTGTTCGTCTTGGTTGCATAAATTCTTTAAAATTTGTGTTCTAAAGTTCACTATCTGAACGCTCTGCTTTGTTGTGTTCTTGTACAATCTCAAAGCATTGACCATCGATGTATTCAAGAGTAAATCAATTGCAAGTTTTTTGTACCATTTTACGGATTTACGCAAAGGACTAGAGTACGAAGTCATTTGATCCGATAAATCGACGGCACCTTTACCTTTATTGTAATTTACGATTATTTGCGGCTTGAATTTCACTTTTCCACGCTTTTGTAACATTGTGAAAACGTACAGAGTACTTAGTAGACAAAACGAGGACCTCTCTTTTATCCTTCCATTTCATTATAGTGATACCTTGGCAATGTGTTCCCCCCTCTTAAGTTTTTTAAATACAACACTTTTCGGAATGTTGTTCCGATTTTTTCTGAGGGAGGCTCACTAAATGTGTCTCACTATCTAACAGCTTTTGGGCCAGGTCAACACTTTTGTACCAATTATCGGTATACAGTGTGTGGCCTTTATTTAAAAGAGCAGTACACAATTCCATTACCACAGCGGTAGGGGAAGTATTCGCAGTATCATTTTTCCAGCATAAACATTGACCTTATAGGTATATCCAGGTATAGTACAGAGTTTAAACTCTTTTATACCGTATTTGTGTCGTTTTTGCTTGTTATACTGTTTGAAAATTATTCTTCCCCGAAATGTTACGGTAGGTTGGTAGAATTTCGGTAGATTTTTTTTTACTTCAGTAGATTTTTGTAGAAAAAGTTGCCGAATTTAGTAGATTAGTAATATTTCATAACGGTCACACTGCCTAGTCTTGACAGATTAAGAAATATGTACAGTTCACAGGGTATATATGTTCTGTGGTTCACAGTTTCACACTGGCGTTAATGCAGCGCTTGTGGCTGTTGTGGTGGACGGAATAGTGGAATCGTATTAAGAATTATTGATATTTTCTTACATTCGTATCTATTTATTAGTGTAAATCGTAATTCTCGTTTAGAATTCAAGTACTATTTGTTATAATAATATTATTTCATTAAGAACGTAAAGTGCTCGCGTATAAAATGTTACAGCCTATTGTCTCGTTGTTTTCTGGCTGTTGGCTATAGTAAACTTATATATATTATACTTACTTTTTCGGAGATACCGAATAGAAATAATTGAATACTATGGAAGTCGAACGCACACCTGCAGAAGTGCAAGCGGAGCCTTCATCTGTCCCTAATGCAGAAGAGTCGCCAAAGAGAGAACAAACTTCTCCTGCAGCGCCTACAGCAGCTAATGGCAATGAATCTACAGTTACTCCTTCAACACCTAAAGATTCTCCAAAACCAAATCCTAGGAAACCTAAAAAGCGAAAACAGAAACTTAGAGATGTTACAGCACCTCGTCAACCACTTACTGGTAATTAGAAGATAGTAACGATTAATGGTTGCATTGAATGTCTCTATTTATATCTAAATCATTCCGATTACTACTAATTCTTTGTATTTTAGGGTATGTTCGTTTTTTAAATGAACGTCGAGACCAGCTACGTGCTGAACAGCCAGACTTAGGGTTTGCAGAGCTGACTCGCCAATTAGCTAGTGAATGGAGTAAATTACCTGCCAAAGAAAAGCAACAGTACTTGGATGCTGCTGATCATGATAAAGAAAGGTAATGTTTACATACTTTATCTATAATTAGTATTTTATATTACTTTTTGCACTATCTCTTTAAGGAATTATAATTCTTTTTCTATTTGAATAGGTATGTTAAAGAATGGACAGAGTATAAGAAAACTGATGCCTATAGAGAATTCAAGATAGCACAAATGAAACAAAAAGGGGGCCCAGCAACAAAGAAAACAAAACACAATTCACCAGATCTTAATGCATCTGCAGGTGACTTACTTTCATCATAACAATATCCTTGAACTTACTTTATTTAGACCCAAAATATCCCTTATACTGTGGGATCTAAAACCTTGGATAACATAAAAATGCATAGTTTAGTTTTTTTTTAATGAAATATAGACATATATTCTTTCACATAGTGTAATGGTAAATACACCAAACTTCTAATTTAAGTATGCTATCAATAACTTCTTAAATTTTAATTCCTTTTGATAAAAGAAGTAGATTTAAGAAGTAAACATGCTTTGTTTTGTTGATTACACATTATAAGGAATGTGTTACAAAAAAGATAATATTCTAATCTTTACTGCAGGAAATATTGTACCAGTAGATCAAGGTAATCTTGTGAATGCTACCAGTAACATAGTACAACCAGTGACTGTACCGCGTCAGCAAACTCCTCCACGGCCCAGACCTTGCATAACACCAGCCTCCGTAAGTTATTATATTCTGGTCATTATTGATGATCTTGATCTGACCCGCTCGGCGGGTACTGTCACAATCGCATCCAACGAAGCAGACGGCCTAAGAGCTACATAGTCAGCAAGCAATGTATAATTATTGCAATCATTTAATGTAAATTTTATTCTCTAAAAGACATTTGTCTTATAAGTCCATTATAAGACAAATGTTGTAATCAATTAAAAGTGAAAACGACAAGATCTGTTCTCCTGTAGATGGTATAATAATATTGATCTATGCTTTGTTTTAGGGAGAAGAGTTGCTGGGTGGAGACACTGATATACCAATATTCACTGATCAATTTCTACAGCACAATAAACTTAGAGAAGCTGAACTCCGGCAGTTACGGAAAGCTAATTCAGATTATGAACAACAGGTGAGAAACTAGATCAAGTGTAACTCATAGACACAGAGACATTAAGGAACCCACTGCAGTTTTTCTGTCGCACATATATCCATACTAATATTATAAATGGAAAAGTGTGTCTGTCTGTTACCTCTTCACCCATAAACCGCTGAACCGATTTAGATGAAATTTGGTAATAGTTTCGAGTCCCGGGAAAGGACATAGGGCAGTGTTTATCCCAGAAATCATCTTTTGAGGGGGTGAAAAGTAGGGTAGAAGTTTGTATAGGGAATCAATAAATGCTGAACCGATATAGATGAAATTTGGTATGGAGATAGTTTGATTCTTGAGGAAGGACATAGGCTTTTTACCGCGGTAACCCTCTTACATGCTAGCAGAGCCACGAGCAAAAGCTAGTATAGTAAAATAATCTGCAAGGACCAGTAAACTTGAACATGTTTTCCAATTTTTCATAGGAGTTCAGTGTGTATTTATTTGTTTAAGATGCTCGATCATAGTTAAAAGCATCACAAAAAAAATTGGTCGATGTATTTTATTCATTTTTGTAGATTCTTGACTGCCCCTGTGCTGAGGTCTCGGGTTCGATTCATGGGTTGGACCAAATGTTTGTATGATCTCTAAATGTTTGATTTGGAGTTTGGATGTTTTCTTTGTATAATGTGTATGTATTTACAAAAAAAAGTACTTAACTATTCTACCAGTCAATCTAGCTTTCATAGTACAAAATCTGCTTAGTTTGAAACTAGATGCCGTTGTGTGTCAGATGTCCAACATTATTATTATCTCTACATTTGTATTCAGCAACATGAACATGCAGGGGTTGTCATTTTTCTCTGGTATATACTCATTAAATTATTTTTACACAAATTTTTGTTTTGTTGCCATTTTTTTGGTTCCCACAGAGCTGCGTAAAAGTTTTTAGGTTCCAACCTTTGCCCATTTCTTGACTCCTGACCAAAAACTCGTTTTTTGTTTTCTATTTACCATCAAATAAAATCTAGACAAACGCCATGGAAACAGCGTCGTTTTACTTTTGTATTGCTTACTTTTATTGTGATCTATACAGAGACATTAAATTAAGACATCTGAAGATAGTGGTAGGTTTTTCACACGTGCTTACAGCATCGTTAGTAAACTTGCGTTTTTTATCCAGTCGAATATTTAGAAAAGTACTGAAATGATTATCTTCTTATCTTCAGGGATGTCAGCAGTCGTTTCGCATCGCTGAGGCATCTTCAAGTTGGTGTGAACTCGACTGTGTCCCTCAAGGCGGCATAATATCTCCTCTGTTGTTTTCTATTTTTCGACACTTACAAGAAACGTCTTAAAATGTATATGCATATACCAAATAGAGTTTTAGCTGCATTCAAAAAGCATAGTAATATAGCCTCAATTAAAGGGTTTCTAATTAAATATAATATTTAAATTTAATAATAACATAAATATTTAAAAAAAATGTTTCTAGGAATCTCTAAATCTAGTCAAAACGTCTATTTTCATAGTAAACCTTAAAAATAATCTATAGACGTTTCGGAAATTATTGGCCACCAGTAAAAGTAACTATGATTCAGTACAAAATAATACCTATACTATTGGTATTGTAAGGATCGTAACATATAAAGTGATAAAATTATATTTCGTTAAAAACCAAGTAGGTACGTACATGTTTATAAAAGTACAATTTGGTACAGGCAGACGATTAGCATATTATGTATTAACTTGCAATTTTTTTTTATTTACATCAAGATTGATTTTCTAGTTTCTATTTCTAAGGTTTGTTTAAGTAAATTAAAACCAAGACTCATTAAATAACCCGTTTTTTATTACAATCATCTTGTAACCCAAAAAAGATTATTTTTATCTCTTCGCTATTTTATGGCTTATATATTCAATTGTATATTCAATCCATCTGGACTCTACACCTAATCGTTTTTTCTTCCAAACCTGTACTATCATTAAAATAACCTCATTAATTTTTAAAGGTTCTAGTTTTTAAATTTGATTCCGTCAAATTATGCACCGAACGAAATCAGGATGTTCACGAACACACTTTTAAAGTAGACATTTAGAAACAATAGTACGTCCAGTTTGTTGTATGTCAAAGACACTTGGTCAAGAGGAACTTACTATTTTGGAAACCTTGCATCAATTCATCATAATTGATTTCCTAGACTAGTGCATTCAAATGTGAGAAGTCAGGGACTTTGTATTTCATCAGAGTCGGGATAATAAGGTGCGCGTTAAGCTAGTGGTATTGATATAATAGCTGTTATAGGCACAGATGATCGATTACATTTAGATGAGGCGTGTGTTTATTCTGCTACTCACTAGTAAAAAAATATAATGTATATTACCAATGTATGGTTTCAGAATGCAATACTGCAACGTCATGCAGAGGAAGTAAGTGGGGCGACGGCAAAACTTCGAGCTGAAACTGCGGCGGCCGCAGAACGCACTGCTGCCCTCTTGAGTCATCGCCGGGCTCTCGTTGCCGCATTAGTACAAGGGTTACATTCGCTGGCCATACCCGGTATGTAAATGTACAATTACAATGTTATAATATTGTCTTTTAGATGTTCTTCACACTTGACAGATATTATTTCGATCAGACATAGAACAGTACTATTTTAAAGCGATGTCTTAAATTTAAATTGCATTGTTTTTTTAGGTGGACCAAGTGGTGCAACCGAACAAAACATTGACGAGTATATGGAAAAACTACAAAGTTTTGCGACTGAGAATAAAAATATACCAGTTCTCAAGCAAGCACAAAATATCCTTAACAAAATTGAACTACCTTTACACTGAAGTATAAACATCATTCCATTGCCACTAGTGGCCAAGATTAGCGTTAATGATGAATGATAGAACAGTACCTACATGTATACCATTTTGTAAATACGCAGAAAACTAATTAACATATATGTATTTTTAGAAAGTTTAGACACATAAGAAACATCAGAATCCTTGCACATGGATATAATTTTTTCATATCTATACTAATATTATAAAGCTGAAGAGTTTGTTTGTTTGGTTGTTTGTTTGTTTGTTTGAACGCGATAATCTCAGGAACTACTGGTCCGATTTGAAAAATTCTTTCAGTGTTAGATAGCCCATTTATCGAGGAAGGCTATAGGCTATATATCATCACGCTAAGACCAATAGGAGCGGAGCACCAATGAAGAATGTTTCAAAAACGGAGAAAATTTATTACTATTGAGAGACGCAGACGAAGTTGCGCAGGTCAGCTAGTACATAATAAAATTAGTCAAGAAGAAATTCACCATTCAAGAGGCAATAGATTAGACAGTTTGGTGGAAGTAATAAAAGTATTTAAATTTATGAACTTTATTATTTGAAGCCCTTTTCTATGCATGATTGTTTGAGCTTCCGCAATAATCTGTTCTAAAACTTATAACAAAATGCTCAGGCCTGCTTCCTGCCCTGTCCTGCAGAAATGTGTTAGTAGTTCGAACTGTACACTTTATTACATATGGCTTTTTATGGTAAAGGGGGCGGGCGGATTACCTGACGGTAAGTGATTACCGCCTCCCAAGGACACCTGCGACTCCAGTGCGTTGACGGCCTTTGAGAATCAGACTACACTCCCCAGTAGTAAGAGGAGTGGGGGGGTTGGGCCTCCTCACTCACTTAATTAGTTGTTAAGATTTTTTCAATTTAAAAGTACATACTTAAAATCACAATAATCTCAATTTTTTTAAATAGATAGTTTAAAAAAACCAATAATTGTATTTTTATTTTTTACTGCCGGTAAAAATTGCATGGGATCAAACTTGTAAATGAATTATTATCAATAACTATTGCATGTGTGTATGTGTAGTGGAGTACTGCACTTGAACATAAATAATTTCTTAACATTATGCTAAAGTTAACACATCATAATTATATATTTTGTTTACTTTGCAAAATATACCTGTATGGATTAGTACATGTTGTACAAGAACTGGGTTAACTAAGGGACATTCGAAATGTTGTAAAAATAAGTTAATTTTAATTACAGTATATGTACAGTATATCATGTAGAAAAACTCCTGATCACCACTGTAAGTCAAATATAATGGAATTGTTACTGATACTAGCCTAAGTTATAAAACAAATTTTACAGTTGAATTAGTGACATGGTTACTAACTAGGATGTATTGTAGAGGTTTAAAAGTTCAACAAAACAGAAAGTTAAAAACGTTAGAAAATAAGAGTTAATGCATAATAACTTAATAATACTTGGGCGTTATTTCAACAGATGGATTTCATGTTACACTTACATTATTATACAATACAATAGGGAATATGCATGTATTTTTCTTATTTTTTTAAACGATTCTACTAGTTATTACATTACCTAAAATAAATATCACACATCCGAAATATAAACCGTCAAGCAAAAAAAAATTATTAAAATCACTATCGTTTTGTGGCAATTTGAACAATTTCAATTCAATTCAAAACAATTTCAAAACAACGTCAATTTTGACGCGCTTTTTTTGTGACGTCAGATTACACTTTCAGACGAATTCGATGTCAACAACGGAGTGAAGTTCACAAAGTTTGTGAAAGTTAAAAAAGTGAGTGATAAAAATTAACTTATTACCATGGAAAAGCCAATAAAAACTTATTATAAATATTGTGCCGTTCCTTTGTGCCCAAATAATATCAAAACTGCACCTGACAAAGTATATTCAGTCATTGTGTTGAGTCTTTCTACATGGGAATTTAATTGTTTAACACTGAAAACGTATTAGTTATTAACTTAAAATGAAACAAATAATCACCAGAAACCAAATATTACAAATAAAAATACTATATATTACAATAAAAATACTTGTTGACACTCTTGACAGTGTAGGTTGACGTCACGTTTTATTCAACCAATAGCGTTGCGTTTTAGAAATTTGCGAGGGAATCTTAAAAAAGCCAATTTTTGATGATTAAATTTCACTATTAAATTATAATAAATTTCAAAAATAATTGTATGGGTATCTTTTTTTTAGCAATAAAAATTACAAATAAAAATATTTTGTCCATTTTGGTGTCACGTGCATATTCCCTATTATCACAGTCTGCTTATCTGTTCTATGTTTGGCCAATACACTGCTTATCAAAAATATCTCGTTCTCTGGATTCACTTTAATATCCTTTTACTTTTATTAAGATGACATCAGAAGATGGGATATTTTTGATGAGAATTGTATGCAATGTCCAATATGTACTAAACAAAGCAGTAGTATCGCCATTCTTTGAAAGGTGTGAATGAAAACCATATTTCTTAGATTCTCAATGTTTTATTAGTGTCCATCATTGAATCATGTAAAATAAAGTTGTCTACATCACAAATGTGTTAGAAATTAACTCATACTGACAGGTATGGGTTATTTTCCAAAAAATATGCACTTATTTAATTAGTATTAGTAATTTCTAATTATACCTACATTATCAGTCTATTTACACCTAGTTATTCTTCATCATCTTTGTCACTATCATCATCATCATCGTCTTCTACAACCACTTCTATATCGTTAACACCACTATCTGATTCATGGTCAGAGTCATATTCGTGCAACTTTATTCTCCACATTTTTATAAGTGTATCCCATGATCTCCTACTGTATTTAGTAAATTTATCAGGTGTCTTTGGATCTCCTTTTTCTCGCTTATCACTGAAAAAAGATTTTTATATCGTAAATGAGTACAATTTATTTATAATTTAATTATGTAATCTCTGACTGGCCAATCTTAAATAATACTTAATATATTATATCTTAGTCAAGCCACTACTGAGGGGGCTGCGTTTAATTCCAATTAACATCAGAAAGCAGTTTGTCATTCTGCTACACCAAAAACAAAATTGAAGCTTATAAAGTCAGCAACTTTGCGAGACCATGTGCTGCAAATGTTCATATACTTATTATCATATCACAGTATATTAGACTCTAAATATAACAAAATTAAAAAAAAAAACATACATGGGTACTTTTGTGACATAGTTGTGATATCCCACAGTATTTTTGCCATAGTCAATTTGTTTCTGCCTTCTCTGTAGAATTGAAGGGTCAGTCTCCAATTTTAAAAGTTTTTTGGGGGGCCTAAAACAAAAGATATCATTTAGAGTTGGGTTAAATATAATAAATTTGTTTGGAGCTTAAATGTAATCATATAGAAACAAACAGGCGCACATGCATACATACACATGCAAGGGGCCATTCATTACTTACGTACCCTTACGAGGGTACGTTATTATTAAGAACTACTGCGTAAGGTAGATGACTTCTGTACCTGGACGAAGGGAATGAGGACAAAACCTAGCAAATGCTATTGCCATTGTCTGGGCCGGCGAGGTAGCCCAGATATACCTCATATGACCTACTATTAGTGGCGAAAGTGTTTCAATAATATCAGAAACGGTGCCCTTTAAATTTCTTGGAAGAAAGATAGACTATAAAGGTCGTACTCCATCTATGAACGCAATAGTCGTTGACTTCCTAAAAGACATTGACAAAGTAGTCCAACAGCCAATTAGTAACGTGAAAAAAGCAAGGATGGTCTGTCTTGCGTACTGTGTACCCACCATGAATTTCTTGTGGAATTGGAAAATTCTTCAGAGCTCGAGTCACGGCTCCAATTCCACAAGAAATTCATGGTGGGTACGCAGTCCAGTAGAGTTGGATTGGGAAATGCTAGGAAAGGTGGGGAAAGGTACAGAAAAGGCTTGTACGATGTGCAGTGCGGAAATAGGTACAGCCAGGCACTTACTGACAGGTTGTAAGGCGCTTTTATACCGGGGTCAATATTCTTATGCACGTCGCCATGACAGGATAAACAAATCATACGTTTATCGCTGGCGAGTGCGAAAAGAGGAATAACAAACATAAGAATGAATATCGCGTCGCGTTTGTAAAGGAAGGCTCAACAAAAAAGACTTCACAAAAGCCATACTCAATTATAAATATTGCCAACGGTATTTTGTTTGTTCAGACCAGACATATTTCTTTTAGTAATTAAGCGTATAGAAACAAACATCCCTAAAGATCGTGCTTTAAAAAGAACCAAGTACTTTAACTTAACCAACGAAATAACTAAAAAATGGTTATATCGCCCAAGCATACTTTGTCATGTAGGGTTCTTCTTCTTCCTTTAATTCAGTGGCTCCATCGGATGTCGATGATTTTGCCAATGTCTAGGTGGGAGGTAGATTTATTAGTTAATAGGTTGAAAATATTTTGAATACCAAAAGGGAATTGTTGTGATTTCAATAGTTTCTGTTTGTGGTTCTGTGGGACAGTAGAGAAAAAAATAAAATAAAAAGGACAGTAGAAAAAAATATAGCAGTAAAGGTATTAGGAAACTTTATAAATTTATTTTATTTATACGAATGAAATGGTAAAGGATCCTGACAAATGGGGTATATACTAGAGTTAATAGATAAGCCAAATTAACGGGTCGGGATATTTGTTGAGGGAGTAGATCATACAGAGGTACGACCAATTTAGGACAAGAAAAGAAAATATGTTCCAGAGTGCCTTCATCGAGACCACACTCACATAGAGAGTGATCACGAACTCGAATTTTGGCAAGAAAAACTGGGGTACTGACAAATCCTAATCGTAAACGAATTATAGTAGAGGTGGCTGACTTATTAACAAGTTTTTGTTTGAAGAACCAGGATCTAGCAGGAATTAAGGGTTGTAGAGAGCCGTAAAATTTACCCTTGATCATTCTACTGCTTTGCCATGTGTTATTCCAGGACTCAGTCAATGAAAGTTTGGCTAGGGAGCGCAGATCTCGGGCGAAGCAGAATTTGTGGCTAGCGCATCCAGTCTGAGCTGCTATTTTGGCGCAGGAGTCCGCAGTTTCATTGCCTGCTATACCTGAATGACTGGGGATCCATGCTTGAACTACTTCAATACCAGACAATAGGCATCTGTGAAGAACCTCTTTAATTTTAAGAATTATAGGGAAATTATTGCGAGCTTTGAAAGGATTTTTTAAAAGATCTTGTAGGCAGCTCAAGGAGTCTGACAAAATAAAGGACTTATCAAGCTTATGAGATTCCACATAGGAGACCGCTTCTAATAAGGCAATAGATTCTCCTGAGAAGATAGAGTTGTAGGAAGAGCATTTATAACTTAGTATAATTTTAAATTTGGGAATCCAAACTGCAGAACCAACAAAGGCATCTGAAGAAAGTTTTGATGCATCTGTATAAAGCGTAACCCAATCAGACCCATCCTCCGCAATGATGTGGAGAAAGTTTTGGTTGGCTGCCGGAGAATGTTTATTGATGCCAAAGTCAAGGATGATTTTTGGTAGGAAGGTTAACGCATTATAGTCAAGCTCAAAAAGAGGATTTAAAGAAGATTGAAAGATAGGATCAGATAGATTTTTCATTTTAATAAAGGAATTAAGGAGCAAAGGGATAGACTTGTGTCTCCAGTACAATGAGATAGTGGTCAGACTAGAAAGTTGAGACAGAATTGGAAGAAGGGGATGGGAATTAATTTGGACTGCATTAAAGAAGTATCTGTCAGCTAAGAATTGGCGGCGAAGATGAAGGGGAGGTTCCAAGCATTCGACTTGGAGGGCATTCACTGGAGAGCATTTCATAGCACCAGTTATGATTCGAAGGCACTTAGACTGGATCAGCTGAAGCTTAGACAGAGCACCTCTATTACATGGTTCCAGAAGGAAAGAACCATAATCAAAGTGACTCCGAACTATGGCATTGTATAAAAGTTTTTGGCAAAAGGGGTGAGAGCCCCAGCGAACCCCAGATAAGGCCCGCATAACGTTCACACCCCCCTCGCTCTTTTTAATAACATGGTTTAGATGGTGAATACCAGATAATTTAGAATCAAGAATGAGGCCTAAAAACTTTATGGAATCTTTTATTGGAATTAGTTCGCCTGCTACAGAAAGGTTGATATCAGGGATATTACGTTTGCGAGAGAAAACAAGAGCACTACATTTAGAAACAGACAGAGAAAGATTGTGGTCCAATAGCCAAACGTTTAAATAATACAGAGCGGAATTCAAACGGGAAGTGGCAGTAGAGAAGGAGGATGACGAAAAATATATGGCAACATCATCAGCATATTGAAGAACTTTACAAAAAGAACTGACAGACTGGTCTAGGTCGAAAGTATAAATATTATAAAGAATGGGACTAAGCACTGAACCCTGCGGAAGGCCCTTCCATACAAGACGAGGAGGGAGAAAAGAACCTTGATGACGAATAGAGATAGTACGACACATGAGCATATTGCAGATGACGTGAACCATCCTCGCTGGAATACTCAGATGTAGCATTTTCTGCCTGAGAAGAGGAAGATGTACATTGTCATAGGCTGCAGAGATGTCCAAGAAAACACCGATTACATTCTCGTTACGAGAAAATGCAAGGCGAATTTCAGAGGAGAGGATGCTGAGGCTATCTAAAGTGCCTAAACCTTTTCTAAAGCCATACTGGTTTTTGGCTAACAATTCGTTGTGTGCTAGAAACCATTCGAGTCTGAATTTAATTAAGGTTTCCATTATTTTAGCTAGTACTGAGGAGAGCGCAATAGGGCGATAGGAAGACGAATTTCTGGGATCTCTACCAGGTTTCAGAACAGGAATGACAATTTGGGTCTTCCAAGATTCAGGTATTTGACCATAATAAAAGATGGCATTGAGGATACTGAGGAAGAAAATTTTGGAAGAATTGGAGGATTTACGAATAAAAGAGTAAGGGATACCGTCAATGCCGGGAGAGGAATCATGAAGATTATCTAGAGCAAAGGATAGTTCTGTGAAAGAGAAGGGATCATCCATGGTATTTTGAGAGGAATCTGGAATAAACGGATAGGCAGGTGGGAAACAATCGAAACCTGGAGCATATGGAGGAGCCAGTTGGCTAAGGAAGTCGTGCAGGAATGAATGAGGGTCATTGCTAGAGATATTTGTTACGTCAAGACTTTTTCGGAATGACTTGAATTTTTTCCAGACAAGTGAGAGACTAGAGCGAGGAGATAAGGACTCACAAAATGAACGCCAACCTAAAGATTTTTTAGCAGAAAGAAGTCTAGTTGTGCTAGCAGCAATTTTTTTGAAATTGAGGAAATCCGACATAGAAAGGGATGCAGCAAATTTGTTCTCAGCCTCCCTGCGCTTCTTAACACTGGCAGTACATTCAGAATCCCACCAAGGGGGAGAAGCAGTCAATTTATTGGAAGGAAGTTTGAGGGGAATAGAGCAATCAGCAGCTGAGTTAATTGCAGAGATAAATTGGTCATAGAGGACAAGAAAATTAAAGGAATTTGTTTGAGGGAGAGTGGTTAAATTTTGATCTAGTGATGTTGTAAATTGCTCCCAATTGGCTTGGGAAACTCTGTATTTGAGGAGGGGTTGTAGGGTTTGGGGAACATATGAAGTAGAGGGGAAGTATGAAATTAAAATAGGGAAGTGATCACTACCAAGGGAGTTTGGCAGGGGGGACCAGGATAGGAGGGAGACTAGGGAAGGAGAAGATAGTGTTAAATCTGGAACACTAATATTTTGGCATGGAGAAACTCTACGAGTTGCGGATCCATCATTAAGGATGCACAAGTTGCAATCATCCATAACGTCAAGTAAGACAGAGGAGCATGAGTCAATACAGTGAGATCCCCATAGAGTGTGACGGCAGTTAAAGTCTCCTAAAACAATCATAGGGGAGGGGATAGTTGAAAGAATTGTTTTTAATTCAAGAAGAATGCTTGTGTTGGGATGGGGAATATAGACAGAGACAAAGGAAACATTAAAAGCTCTGAGGGCCACTATATTTAAGCCAAGAGAGTGGTTTGGTAATAAGATTAGAGAGAATGTAATATTCCTATTGACCAATAAGGCACAACCAGCATAACCATCACTTCTATCATCCCGAAGACAAGAGAAACCAGGAATTCTAAAATGGAATTCAGGCTTTAACCACGTTTCGGAAACTGCAAAAACAACAGGTTTATGATGATTGATCAAGTAAGAGATATCTTGTTTGTTACGTCGGATACTCCTACAGTTCCATTGCAGGACCTGGAGAGCCATTGGAAGCATTATTTTTTGTGATAACAGAAAGTAGTTGTTCAACAAGAACTGCAACGTCGTACGGTAAGGCATCTGACATTTTAGACAGCATGTTAATTAAAGAGCAAAGAAGGAGCTGTACAAGATTGTCATTAGGAGTAGCAAGAGGAGTTGTTTCAGTAGGGGGGATAAGACAACAACCATTAGGGTGGATAGAAGTTGGGGACTGAGTAATTGTATTATGGGCATGAATATCATATGTCTTCCCAGACATAGATATACGGCGAGGGGGAAGGTTAACTGTTTTTTTGTATGATTTAGAGGGAGAAGCAGATGGGAGAGGTATGATGGATGGATGAGTTTGAGGGTTTAGAGGGAAATTAGCAGGGGATTTGGGACTGGCAGCAGCCTCAGAATATAGCCGCTTGGCAAACTGTGGAAATCTAGCTGATGCTTCCATACAGCTAAGGTTTTCCTGAGACATGACACATTTGATGGATTTTTGTCTGTTGTGTTCAGGACATCTGTTATCAGTAGCACAATGGCTACCACCATGACATAAAAAACAAGATATCTCCGAGTCAGGAACCAGGCAGGAGTCACCAGAATGCGGCTGAGCACATTTATAGCAGCGGGGCTGGGACCTACATTGTTTGGCAATGTGGCCGAACCGACAACAATTCCTACATTGTATGGTAGGTAACTGGTAAAGCGACACTGGCAGAGATGCATTAAAACAAAAAAATTTTTCTGGCAGACTGTCCTAGAAACGTAAGGACCACAGAGTTCGATGGGACCCAAACGGATACTCCATCTTTTCTATTCTTAACATTAAGACGTCTAGCTCGAACAACTTCGCCACAATTCTTAGGGACAGATATTCCAGATACTAGTTCCTCTAGAGTCCACTCAGTAGGGATATCCCTAACAACACCCATACGAAATACTTGGAAGCGAGGAATATTTGCCACATAATTATATTGTCTGACAATTGGGGAGTTAACAAAATTATTCGCTGAGATAGCAGACATAAATTCCACACAGACTTTGTTACGACCCATATTTTTAATGGTTCCCTCTACAATATCAGGTATTTTGTTTTTGTATAAAAACTGGGCGAGTTTGAGTGCCTTAAGAGACAGGCCGGATGATGGATCAGGTTCAAGCCTAGAAACATACACAGAATATGGACCCTTGTCTGATACCGAGTATTCGAGCCTGGAATCAGACTCAAATCCAGGTTTTGAGAAAATTGACTGAATCGATTCAGCTGGTGAACGTATTTTCTTTCCATCGAAGTCAACGGGAAAGACTGAGTCCGATTGTCGCTTTATAGCTTTGGGTTTATCGGGGGGTAACACACCGCCCCCATCAGGGGGGTCTTCCGCGCTCATTTCCGTAGAAATGAGCGCGGTTGTTAATATTCACTAACCTTGTTAAGGATTATTCTACTGTCGCTTCAACACACCAGAGACAATCCCATGTAGGGTTTGTTTTTATTATTTAATTTACTTAGTTTTTTTCTCTTTCTTCTTGTATAACATTGATGTAAATACTATTGCTAATACACATATTTGGGGAAGACACTGACACCAACACAGACTATGCTAGCACGGGTGTCAGAGACGGGCAAGTATCATTCCTGAGACAAAATCGCTCCTAGAAGCCTGTGAACGCCCCAGGAGGCTTCTGCGCTTCTGGAAGGAGCTTGGTGGGCCAACCTAGCTAACCAATCCTCGACGCATAAAGGACCACTCTTGAGTCTAAATGCGGAAACGGAAGCCTACAACCAATACGGGTGTCTGAGAATCCTGTTATAATTGTACAATGTTTATGTCAATGAAAATTATTATTAAGAAAAACCAAGAACAGTTTTCTAGATACCTGTAAAAAATTATTAATTCAATTCAGCTCAAAAAGTGTCAAAAATAGAGCAATGGAAAGTAACTAGAGCATGTTGAACTATAAATAATATAATTGAACTATAATATAAATTTTTGCATGCGCAGGTTTTATATATTACTTAGGATATAGTTTTAGAAATATATACTTCGACATTTAAATAAATTACTAGCTGACCCGACAAATGTTGTTTTGCTATATACATTATTTCTATGAAATATTGAAAAAAAAATGTAGGGGTGGGTCACCCTTGTCATTTAGGGGTATGAAAAATAGATGTTGGCCGATTCTCAGACCTACCCGATATGCACACAAAATTTCATAAAAATCGGTCCAGCCGTTTCGGAGGAGTATGGTAACTAACATTGTGACACGAGAATTTTATATATAAGATTAATTTTTCTGAGCCTAGTCATTGGCAGCAAATAAAATAAGTGCAGGATCAGATTAAAGGAACTTTAGTTTCTTTATTAATGAAGTTATATGCAGAACAATAATTGTTTGATACTTTTGTTAAGCAATTTTCATGAATAAATAAAAAAGAAATACCAGGGTTTATTGTCTGCATCGCTACCTTCTTTTTTGTTAGCATTTGATTTCTTCCTGCTATTAGAATTTTCTCTACTGTTTCCTTTCCTTGACATTTTTCTTGCTTTACAATCTGTAATTTTAAATGAAGGTTTGAATATATATATTTTGTTAAATAGTATAATATTATGTCTTAGGATAGTAGGAGCCCCTGAAATGTATGACAGCAGTCTTTCTACAGTGATAGTATACTTGAGTCTGATGGCAGAAGCTCGTGAAAAAATCGATGTTCAGCCAAATCATAGTAGACTTAAAGACGACCGCAACCCAGTATGGAAAAAATTGGTTCAACGATTCTAAGATTTATGCACTTTTTGTACTTACCACTACATACTTATCAGTACAGTTTGTTTTATTAGTATAGCTTTTTAAATCATTTTCATATGCACAATTTGAAATTGCAACAATAACACACTGCTCTAGGAAATAATTCATTATTAATTCACTACTCCAATGTGAAAATATTTGTCCTGCACATATGTTTTAGGTAAATTGGTTGACAGTAAATTTTATAACATTTTGACTCAGATAAAAAGCTTATTAAAGTTTGTTGCTAGAAACTTGCTATTCTTCAGTAATTTATGTAGTGAATATGGTAATTAAAAAGTATTTCCGGGCAAATCCTTTCATAATAGCAAAATTATACTGGTAATAATTAAATCACAAATGTGTTAATTAAATTTCTTACCATCCTGATCATCATCCATTTCTTCAGCCCAACTCCTTTTAATATTCACTACACTCATTTTCAACCTAAAACAAAGAAAATAAAAAGAAATTATTATAGTATGTCTAGGCTAAGGATAGACTGTGTTTAAATTAAACAAAAAAAAGAATGTGCACTTTGATTTGATTATGTAGTTTATAATGATAGACTTTGATAGTCCATCACTAATCACACTCTTGTACTGAGAAGTCTATGGGATGGACATGCACTGGTGTTTGGAATCGTGGAAGCGTCTTTATGACAATTTATCACATACGAACTGCAGTTTTAGCTGATTTTAAAGCTACTTACCGATGCAATCACTAGATTTAAATGTAACCCTTGAACGACTTCTCATACAACAAATTTTAAATGTCGAAACTAACAACAGAACGTGTTTTACGAAGCCTGTGTAAGATAGCAATTTAAATTAATAGCCCTAGCTTTAATACACTCTTCTTTGAGTATTTTTTAAATATTAGGTTTCACATGAAAGCACGACGTAAAACGCTGTAAAACGCGCGAAAGACGAAGAAATCGAAGAATGATTGAAAACTAAACTAATAAACAAATCAACTGTCAACTTCAACCGGTGCTGCCAACAGTTAAATTAACTCTCCACCAGTATTGCCAGCAGTTAAATTAACTCTCCGACAGATTCGCCATCTAGAACCAACAGAAAACTACTAGCGAAAATTGGCCCTACTCTAATAATCGCTAAATTTTTCACTAAAACCTATTTTGAGTGTTACGTCAGAAAACAATAAGTATATTGATAATTAGTTTCCTTTATTTTTATTATGCCCAAGATGGCTGGCAGGTGTTGGCTACGAGAAACCGAAACTCGATTGAAGTGGATCAATAAATCATCATACAAATCTTAAATCAACCAATCACGATCAGAAACATAAAAAAACATTCAATTACAACAGTAACTTATTTTAAATTAATTCGTCTTCCTCAAATAAACCGTTTCTATTTGCACCATTATCGTTGGTTTCAGATTAATACGATTGTTTGATACCACTTTGTTTTACAACGAAGATGAGAATTTCATATTCGTTACAGATATTTTCCTTCCAGCATCAAACCACAGCGTATTCTTAACATAGCAGATAAAAGATTTAACTTCAGTATATTCTTCTGCTTGTTTTTATTGCATTCTTATTGCCAAATAGTCTCTCAATATCAGCTCCTAATCCCATAAATCTCGAATTCCGTTTTGCATCTTTGAAGTGCGATACTTCCAGAATGTGGAACACGATGGGACACTTAACACGATGGGCATTGGTAGACAACAACGGACCGAGTTTCGAACGACCACTGGTTTAAATGATATCAATCTTCATTTCTCTTCTGCTACTCAACTGGATAATCAAACCAAGAGTTGAACCCTGAACTATATCGATAGTCTGCCCAGACCCAATATTATCTACTTTGAATTTTCTTCTGTGCTGTCTGGGACACCAAGAAGATGTCTATCCCTTTTAATGACGTTAGCCGTAGGATGATAGTTACAATCCTGGATTAGGTCCTGGCAATTATAACTCACATAAGTGACTTCTCTCATGACACCGGAACCTTCTCCTCTCTCTGGCATAAAGCCTACATCATCTCATTGCCTAAAATTAATAATTATTCTTTACCTGATCACCTCCTTTTCTCCAATCTCCATCGTTCCTTTGCTATCAAACATGCTTGATCAAACAGTTCTCACAGATCATCTTTCAACATCATCTCCTAAGTCCTACTTAATCTTACTATTACTACCAAACCACTATAAAAATCCACTAGCCACTAAAAGCAATTTGTCGCCGCTAACAGGGGGCCGAAACCAACAGTTTTATTAGAAAATCCACTAGGCTGGCAACACTGCTCTCCACCAGATTCAACATCATAGAGATATAACTACAGAGCACAGCTAGAAAAAGATAAATTGAGATAACTATTTTCCATCTCTGACGTTACCTACAAAGCGAGATTAGGGCTCTTGTGCCCTCTAGGTTATATCTCTATATTCAACAATCTTTCATGTACAAGCACTTCAACACTTCGACGTACCGACAGTCGATTTGGCACCGCTGGATAGACTGTTTATGGGAATAGATTTATTCCAATTATTTAGTCTTATGGGAAACATACTATATTGAAGTTATATGCATCATCATCATCATCATCATCATCAGCCTATCGCAGTCCACTGCTGGACATAGGCCTCTCCCATTGCACGATACTTAGAATGATTTTGGGCTTCTCGCATCCAGCTCCTGCCAGCCATCTTGCATAAATCGTCACTCCACCTGGCCTGCGGTCTCCACTCAAGAACTCGTTTTCCCCAACGGTTGTCGGTTCTGCGGGTAATATGGCCAGCCCACTACCACTTCAGCTTGCTGATCCGGTAGGCTATGTTGGTGACCTTGGGTCTCTGCTGGATCACCTTATTCCTGATGCGATCCCTTAGAGAAACGGCGAGCATAGCCCTTTCCATAGCACGTTGAGTGACTTTGAAGTTGTGGAACAGCCACGTTTCGACTCCGTATGTTATGACGGGTAGGACGCACTCATTGAAGACTTTCGTCGAACAGCAATCGAGCAGAATCGGGTTTCAAAAGTGTTCGTACAATCTCTTGGAAGAAGGCACCCGACAAAGTTGACCACAGAAAGTGGAGAAGTCGTTGCTTCGAAGCAGTCCTTTTGGAAGTGGAAAGCTTCTATGGCCGGTTATACGCTTCGCATGCATCTCGACCTTGCTAAATTAGCTTGCTACATTAGCTTGCTACATTATACTAATCTGTGATCTCGACCTGATCTCGAAAATGAGGTCTCTAGAGCCACATGAACACGTCAATTGAGGAACATAATCCACATAAATCATAATAATAATATTATTACGATTTCTATGGCATAATCTGTCCCTGTTGTAGATGTGCTTAGTGAAAAAAATATACTACGGAGATCCTTTGCCGATAAAATACAAAAACCTGGACTACAGTCGAAAATTTTAACTATTTTCTGTTTTAAAAATTAAACATTTATTATATTTAAATTATAAAAATTTATTATATTACATGCTTTTTTTTTTCGAAATTACATCTTAATTTACAAAAACTAAAATCTTATTTATTTACAATGAAGCATATGGTTTTAAAAAAGTTTTAGAGTTGCGAATGCTGGAATCAAGCTGCAGCCTGCAGCTGGAATGCAGAACTCGACAACTGTTGTCAAAGTCTGATGTCTGATAGTAGATAAATGCTCGATTTCCATTTCTAACATTTCTCAATCATTGCATTTATAAAATAAGACGAGAAGAACTTTTATATTATACAAAGGAAAACAGATCTATTTATCCCTGTAGGTTAATCGTTAATATGCAACTAATAAATTGTTAGGGATATAGGTTAATATCTAAATATTATGTAAAGAAAAACAAAACAAAAATTTAAACATGATGGTGAGTAGTAATATATAGATAAATATATATGGATGAAAAACAACCGTTTGAAAGTGTACTGTTTGACATGTTATTTTGCATTTATACCAAAAGTGAATAAGTTATTGAAATTCCTTACAGGCTGCCCATGAGATTGACGAAGCTTTAGCTTCGTTAGATATGCTTATGTCGGAGTTTTTTGCCCCAGCAACAAGTAACTACAGAAAGAGAGAGATTGAGAGTATGCTCGAGAACTTCTCTCACCGCAGTGACTCCTGGAAACATTGTTTATTATTTTTACAAAAATCACAGAACCAATATGTTTTGATGTTCACATTGACTACTCTAGAGGTGAATACTGTACATTTACACATTTCAGAATTGTTTTCGTCCCTTTTTCTCTATACATGGAAAAGAAATCCTAAGTTAAAAAAATACTTATCCATTTAAACATTTATTTATCTTGAAATCAGTATTATAATATTTTTGTCACATGTTAAAAAGTTCATGGACCTTGCAATAAGAATATACATTTATAAACTCAATATTTTATAAACTGTTAGGAATATTCTATTTAAACAGATATTGAGAAATAAATATATAAATAATGCTTTTTAATTATTTTTTTTAGAATATTATCAATAGACAATGGATAAGCCTGCCAGATAATTATAAAACAGAAATACGATTGACATTATGGAATGAGCTGTTGGCTAAACATGAAGTAATGGTGTATTTTATCCGAAACAAGCTAGCTTCTCTTATGGTATCTATTGCACGGTATGACTGGCCTCATTTATATAATGACTTCTTCAGTAATATTGTTGAGGTAAGTTCTAGAAATATTTTGTTTTCCTGCCTTGAGATATATTTGCCTATAAATAATAATAATATTCTACTGCATTCACACAAGGCCATCTAGTCCCAAACTAGGCAGAGCTTGTACAACTAATATAAATACTTTTTACATTTAAATACATACATACATACAAATTTTCCTTGTAGAATCTAATCCTTTTATAGCATAGCGTACTGCATGCATGCATGTCACCATAGCATACTCATTTTTGGATAGTTAAAAACAAGGTAATGAAACCCAGGGGCGAATGTGATAAGAGGTAGTTTTGGGTCAGCATCACAAGTTTTCTGTTTTCATAGTGGTGTCATACCCTCATTCATCTATATCTGTGTTTTGCAGTTAATAAGATGTGATGGGCGGCGTTGTCTATTAGGACTGGTGTTGGCCCAAGCTGCAAGTGAAGAACTTGGGGCAGCTCGTGATACAGGTGTTCTGCTACCATCACAGCGGCGAAACCAACTTGAACGTCTTATGTTAAAGGGAATGCCACAGTTACTTAATGCACTTAGTGGTAAGTAGTAATTTAGTAGCTATTTAGCAACGGCTCTGGCTTTTTCTCATGTTCTATTTTTGATTCTAATGTATGTAAAATATAAAATTTTGATTCCAGATATTTTAGAAAAAAATTCAGAGAAGGAAGGTCAATCAAATCCTCCACCTTCTCCAACTAATGGTTTACCACAGACATCTGCATTACCTGATCTCTTAGCTAATGCCCATGATGTTACTTCTACAGATAAGTAAGTTATATGCATATTATAACTTAGTAGTTTATTATTGTTTTAAGTAAATCTAAATCTATACCGGGAATTATAAAGAAGGAAGATATTTTATGTGTAAATTATTAAATAGGGTTGCAAGAAAACAATAATAAAAAAGTAGATAATAACTTTACACACGACCCAGATTACTGATAAACATACTTATATATTTCTAAATACAGATATATTATAGATAAATTCTAATATAAGAACAAATAATCGAACTTATCACACAATTATTTGTCTTTGGTGGAAAGTGAACCCTTGACCTCTGGCTTAGGAGTCAGAGTCACTAACCACTGGACCAAGAGGCCAGTCAATATAGCTGTCTGAATACTTCTAGTAGTTTTATACAGTGCTGAATTAATTCATAAGGATAGGTGCATTGTATTCCATTTTGAGATCATGTTCATGTACAACTGTTATTCACGCCCCATGTTTTTATTACAGAGCTCTGAATATGGAGATAGTGGTGAAGTGTCTCACAACTCTTCAACATTTATTCTCATGGTTGCCATTATCATCACATGTACCCCCATCTTTAGTTACTACTGTTTTCTATTGGGGCAGTATAGCTACTCAGTCACAGGTACACAGTATAAAGTTATTAACTCATTGTTTTAATATTAAAAACATTTTTATGACTTCTACAAATAACAAGAACAGTTTCTGTAATGATTACTTAGTAGCTCTAACTTTAAAAGGCCATTTGAACGATCCAGCTAGCTAGATGATTACCATTCTCATATTGATAAAATGGGTATCATTGTTCAACTGATTAACTGAATATTGCTCTGTCATTTTTGAATATTGTGTATAGTGAACAACAAGTAATTGTTGTACGAAACGTGTGTAGAGTGCGGAGGCGGCGCTGTGTGGGCTGGGCGGCGTATGCGAGCTGCTGTACAGGCGCTACGCCCCGCCCTCGTCCGCCGCCACTGCCCTGCGCCTGCAGCACTGCGCACTACGCTTGCTGCGACATCTCACACACAATCATGCACACATCTTGCATGCGAACCACGAGTTAGTACAATACTATATTCAATACTCAGTTACACTATGCACGATCTTCTGATGGAAGTGTAAAAACATAGACCAGACTTTACATATTTAAAGATAACGAATTGTTTTAGTTAGCTCTTTACACAACATTACACCAGCAGTCCTACGAATGTCTACAGACCTTAGTCGTTTCTATAGTCAGCTAATAGCAAAAACAAGAATGTATAAAAATATTTCTCTATACTTTATTTTTTTTACATTTTTGTCCTAAATAGCTAACAGCTTGTTGGTTTTGGATTCATTATACAGGATGGAAGGGACATCGTAATGAATACTGAAATAGTGTATGCAGACCATGATTCTGAGCCGAAAATCATTGGAATTATCTGCCGGAAAGTTCATCATTTTTTATTATTTTCCTCCTTTCCACAATGAGTAAACAGAACATTTCACCCAAAACAAATTAATAAATACCGCATACGGTCAAAAACTGCAATGCAATTAATAAAATAGATGAAGCGCGTGAGGCCTGCCTCCCCCCCCCGGCCAGCTTGTGTAGTGTTCGTAGAATGTTTGCACGGAATACACATGTAGTTATTACTTTTGTGCGATACCTACGGGGAATGACCTTTACTTTGTCAGCTAATTGCAGAAAAAGTTTAATTTTCCGGTAGAAAATTCCAATGATCGTCTGAATACACTTTTTCAGTATTCGTTACGATTTCCCTTACACCATGTATAGTAATATCACATCGACAGCCTATGATAGTCCACTGCTGGACATAGGCTTCTCCTCTGAAAGGAAGTTTTGGCCTACTATACCACGCTGGCCAGACGGGTTGGTATAGGGTTTGTTTCAAGTTTTCCTTCTCTTTGCAGTGCTGTTGTTTTGCGTAGTTTTCTCCCTTAGTCGACTTTTACGACACCCACGGAATGAATAGGGGTGGTGACATTACGTATTCTTAATCCGTCACCACACGGATCATCAACAGCATATACTAGTCCACTGCTGGACATAGGCCTCTCCTTAGAAAGGAGGTTTTGGCCTACTATACCACGCTGGCCAGACGGGTTGGTATAGGGTTTGTTTGGGGTGCTGGGCTAGAAAACCTCCTCGTGGTGCACCCTGGAAACGCTGGCGATGGTACTGTTTCCTCCTTGTCCTCTTGGAGGAGAGGATTATCGCCAGCGGCCAATATTCTAGCAGAAGAGGTAGCCGTTCATCGGCTCTCGGGCAAGGCCTGGTCCAGCAGGGTGGGCGTGTCTGCCGGTTGCCCTGCTGGCTCTTCGCTCTTCGGAGCATGGAGGAGGAAACCTCGGTAAAAAACCTGATGGCGGGGCCCTGTAGGGGCCACAGTTTCTCCGCTGACAGCGGTGGAGAAAGGAGGACGGGCTCGGCGTGTACTCACACTACCACCGAGCAGGCAGGGGGACGTAGTCTCCCTGTCAACCGTCGGCATATCGTAATCCCGAGAAGAGCGCTGTGGTTAAGTCTCGCGGCTCTGATCGGGGGCGAGGGTCTTGGCTTAACCGCCCGGACCGCGAGGAAGATAACCTCTCTAAAAAATTCCCCGAATCCCGTGTTCTGGTGCGTGGCCAGGGGATGCATGGCTGATGGGAAGTTCAGTCGCGAGCGCACTCCAAGCCGAGGTACCTGCGGACCCCTCGGTTGGGTTAAAAACTTACGCTTGCCCGGGTAATAGGGGATCTCTGCCGGGGTGGACCTTTAGTTCTCCCCCACTCGTGGGATTAAATATGGAAAAAATTCAAAACCTTAAAACACAAAAAACGATCGGAAATAACCAACAACAGAAGGCAAGTCTAACGGAAACGAAGAAAACGAAGGGAAGGAAGGAGAAGCAGAACAGTGGAGCGGATGGGTCGTCCACTGAGGGTGAGGTGGCGTCGGGGACGCCTATCTCTATGGGGCTCCCAGAAGTCAGTCTGACGCTGGTCTCTGGGAGCCGAAGAGCATCAGATCGGCTGCGCTCCGGATCCGCCGTTTCGTCGGATGGCGCTGACGCCATGGAGGCGGAGCGAAGCGACAGCCGGAAACGAGGACGCTCCAGGGACGAGGAAACCGACACGTCCCAGGAGATGATGCCACCGAAGGTGGCAAGCAGCCGCCGAGGGAGGGCACGCAAACCTGCCTCGGCCCCGGTCTCGACCCCGTCAGGCTCCGCGTTCTCAAACGCGGAGTCGTACAGGAATGTACGAGTGGACGGCGAGGCCGTAGCGGAAGAGGAGATCGCGGATCTCCTGCTCAAGGTTCGGGAGCCGGTGGGGGGAAATGCCCCCCAGGCTTCCGTGTCCGTGCAGGAGAGGGCGAAAGCGGCGGTGGCCGTCATCCACAAGGTGGCCACCAAGTCCGTGAACCTTAAGGGCTCGTTTGTGAGGGCCCTTAAGGACTCCTCCTCCGCTTTGTCGGAGGTCGTGGAGAGCCTAGTGGGCGATGTGTCTCGCCTGCAGGTGGCCAACGAGAGGCTGACGGAGCGGGTGAACGAGCTGAGCGCTCAGTTCGCCCGCTTCCAGGCGAACCTCCCCGAGCGGGAAGCCCCGTCCGCGTCCCAGCCTGCCCCTACTACCAACTCAGGGGCATTTGACTCCCAACTGCGAGAAATCCTCATCGCAGTTGGGAATATGCTGGACGGACGCCTGGCTGGCCTGGAGGCGAGATTGCCTCCTGCGCCGAGTATGCGCCCCCCGCTCGCGTCGACACAGCGGCCTAAGGCCGCCGCTCCGACCGCGCTCCCCGTAGTGGGAGGCCGCGTCTCCTACGCGGCGGCGGCGTCTGCCCCGACTCCATCGGCTCCCCAAAAGCCGAGGAGGGGGGCCAAGGCACCGGCCCAGGCGCCGGCCAAGGCACCGTCCCAGGCGCCGGCCAAGGCGCAGGCCAAAGTGCCGGCCAAGACGGGGCCTAAAACGGCGCCGAGGAGCGGAGTGGCATTCCCTCCGCTCCCCACTCCGACACCCCTGCCGGGCCCCTCCGCACCTGCCCCCTCCAACGAGGGCTGGCAGGAGGCGAGGGGCTCCAAGAAGTCCCGAAGGCGGGCCAGAAGGGCTGCCCAAAAAGCAGCCCAAGCCCAGCCTTCGCCACCGGTGGCAACGGCCTCTGCAAAGAGGCCGCGGAAGCTGCAGCCGCCCAAAACCGCGGCTGTAGTGGTGACCGTATCCCCGGAGGCGGCTGACGGCGGGCTGTCCTACGCGGCCGTTTTTAAAAAGGCCCGGGTCAGCCTCGCCAACGACTTCGGGACGGTGGGGGTCAGGATGCGCCTCGCCCAAACGGGAGCTCGAGTTCTCGAGTTCCCAGGGGCTGAAGGCGCCAAGACGGCGGACACTTTCGCTGAGAGGCTGCGGAGTTTATTCGCGGCCACAGATGGTGTCAAGATCGCCAGGCCTACCAAGTGCGCGGAGCTGCGCATCTCGGGCCTGGACGACTCTGTGACGGCCGAAGATGTCCGCGCTGTAATCCGGGAGAAGACGGGGTGCAGCGCGGACAACGTCAGGGTCGGCACCATCCGCCCCGGTCCAGGGGGGCTTGGCGCCGTGTGGGTCAGCTGTCCCGTAGCGTCGGCCAAAGTATTGGCCGACGCCGGCAGGCTGCTCATCGGTTTCGTGAGCGCTAGGATCACAGTCCTGGCGGCGAGACCGATGAGGTGTTACAAATGCCTAGCATCGGGGCACACGCGCGTCAAGTGCCAAAGCTGCTTCGACTGCAGCGGACTATGTTTCCGCTGTGGTCGACCGGGGCATGTGGCGGTGGAATGCTCTGCCGCCCCTCACTGCCCGGTGTGTGCGGCGGGTAACAAGCCCGCCAATCATCAGATGGGGCAGGGGGGCTGCAAGCCTCCCCGCAACTCTCAGCAAGCATCGGGGGCTAGCCAGTCGACCCAGGCTGCCTCCGATGTAGTTCGTGCGTCGACGTCGTCGCCCATGGAGGAGGCTGTAGAGACGATCCAGTAATGGATCGGGTCTCCAGCCTCCTGGTCCAGACGAACCTGAACCACTGTGCCGCGGCGCAGGATCTCTTCCTGCAAACCATGGCACAGTGGTCGATAGGTGTTGCCGTAGTCGCGGAGCCCTATTCTGTCCCTCCCCGTCCAAACTGGATGGGTGACTGGGACGGCTCCGTGGCAGTCGTCGGTTCCACGACGGCTCATTCCCCGCCCTTGTCGCTAAGAGACAAGGGCACTGGATATGTTGCCGTCGAGTGGGGGGGGATCACCATATATGGTGTTTATTTCTCCCCCAACCGGAGTTTGAACGACTTCGAGGTTTTCCTAACCAGCTTGGAGACCTCGATACGGCGACTAGCGTCTGGGCACGTCCTTGTGCTGGGGGACTTCAACGCAAAGTCCATTGCGTGGGGTTCCCCCAGGACGGACGCAAGGGGCGAGGCCGTAGAGGAGTGGGCGGCCTCGGTGGGCCTCTGTCTTCTAAACAGAGGCTCCACCAACACGTGCGTGCGACAGCAGGGGGGGGTCGATAGTGGACCTCTCGTTCGCTACCCCTGCCCTCGCCGCACGAGTAAGGAACTGGTGTGTCCTGGAAGAGGTTGAGACGCTCTCGGATCACCTGTATATCCGATTTGAGCTCTCCCGGACCCAGGACTCCAGTAGGGGTCACGTGGCGCGGCGTTTATCCCGCTTTCCGCGGTGGGCTGTTGCCAGACTGAACCGGGACCTACTAGAGGAGGCAGCCATAATTCACTCGTGGCTGTCTCCTCAGGCTCCGACCGAGGAGGTCGACGTGGGGGCTGGCCGCTTTCGCGATGCGATTACGCATATCTGCGATGCGGCCATGCCCCGCATTCGAGGTCGTCGGCCTCCAAGGAAGGAGGTCTACTGGTGGTCCCAGGAGCTGGCGGACCTCCGTGCGGCCTGTACACGTGTCCGGAGGTCCTACACACGCAGTCGGCGGCGTCACCGTGGAGACGGTGAGGAGGACCGGCTTCATGAGGAGTACCGGCGGGCGCGGAAAACTCTGAAGCTGGCCATTAGCCGCGCCAAAGAGGAAAAGAGACAGGAGATGCTGGAGGGTCTTAATCGTGACCCCTGGGGTCGCCCTTACCGCGCGGTGCGACAAAAGCTCCGCGCGTCGGGCCCCCCCCTTACGGAGACTCTCCAGCCCAGCTTCCTGCAGGAAGTGGTCGAGGGCCTATTCCCGCAGCGGGCGGAGCACACACCCCCGTCAATGGCTGCATCAGCCGGAGACGACGGGGTCAGCGAGGTCGATGTTCCGCCCGTCAGGGAATCGGAGTTGGGGGCGGCTGTTCTACGGATTCGATCCAAGAACACCGCCCCCGGGCCGGACGGGGTTCCAGCCCGAGTGATGGCCCGAGCCCTCGACTACATGTCGGACCACCTCAGGGGGGTGTTGGACGCTAGCCTGGCGTCCGGACGCTTCCCTGAGTGCTGGAAATGCGGGGAAGCTGGTCCTGCTGCAGAAGCCGGGACGGCCTGCCGATTCGGTCGCGGCCTATAGGCCCATCGTGCTGCTGGACGAGGCGGGCAAATTGTTTGAGAGGGTTCTTTCTGCCCGCATCGTCCGGCACCTCTGCGAGGTGGGCCCCGATCTGTCGGACGCCCAATTTGGTTTTCGGGCGGGGCGTTCGACAGTCGACGCCGTGTTGCGCCTGAGGGCCGTGACCGAAGAGGCAGTGAGCTGTGGCGGCGTGCTGTTGGCGGTGTCATTAGACATCGCCAACGCATTCAATAGTCTGCCATTCAGCTGCATCAGGGAAGCACTCCACTATCATGGGGTGCCAAAGTACCTGAGGCGGCTAGTGGCAGACTACTTAGAGGAGCGTACCGTCGTGTACGAGGACCGAGAAGGTAATTTGAGGAGTCGGCCCATGTCGTGCGGTGTTCCACAGGGGTCTGTTCTTGGACCCCTCTTGTGGAACATAGGGTACGACTGGGCCCTTCGCGCCGATTTCCCCCCCGGGCTGGGTGTAATCTGTTACGCAGACGATACCCTCGTGACAGCCCGGGGGGCAAACTTCCAAGAGGCGGCGCGCCTGGCCACAGGGGGAGTCTCCCTGGTGGTCGGGCGCATTGAGGCGCTGGGCTTACGGGTGGCCCTAGATAAGACGGAGGCCCTGTTATTCCATGGGCCCCGTCGTGGTCCACCCCCTGGCGCCTCAATCGTGGTCAACTCGGTCCTCGTACCGGTTCGGGCCCAGATGAAATATCTGGGCCTGATCCTCGACGGGAGGTGGCTCTTCGACGAGCACTTCCGACAGCTTGCTCCAAAGCTGGTCGGCGCTGCGTCTGCCCTAGGGCGACTTCTGCCCAATATGGGTGGACCCAGCGTTGCGACAAGACGGCTGTACACGGGGGTTGTCCGGTCAATGGCACTGTACGGTGCACCGGTGTGGGCGGCGGCTCTGACCGCCCAGAATAGGGTACGCCTCTGGCGCCCTCAGAGGGTAATGGCGGTCAGAGCCATACGCGGTTACCGCACCGTTTCGACGGAGGTGGCATGCGCATTGGCCGGAACTCCCCCGTGGGATTTGGAGGCGGAAGTGCTCGCCGAAGTTTATCGGCGAGTGGCTGACTTCCGGGCGGAGAGGCGGATTTCGCCCTCCGCCCGAGGATGTGCGCGAGTGGCGCGAAGCCGCTCGCCGAGCCACGATGGCTCGTTGGTCGTTCCGGCTGGAGACTCCACGCGCTGGCTTCGCCGCCGTGGAGGCTCTCCAGCCGGTCATCGCCGAGTGGGCAGGGCGGCAGCACGGGACCCTTTCCTTCCGGCTGACGCAGGTGCTTTCCGGGCACGGTTGCTTCGGAAAGTACCTGCACACGGTCGCAAGGAGGGAACTGAGTCCCGCCTGCCACCACTGCGACTGCAGTGAGGACTCGGCCCAGCACACGCTGGCGGTCTGCCCCGCATGGGCGGCGCAGCGTCGGGCCCTCACTGCAGTCATCGGAGTGGATCTCTCGCTACCGGCCGTAGTACGCTCCATGGCCGGTAGCGACAGTTGTTTTACCGCGGTCGCTACCTTCTGCGAGGTAGTAATCTCGCGGAAGGAGGCGGCGGAGAGGGCCCGGGAGGACGACCTCCACTCGGACCCGATCCGCCGCCGGCGAACCGGGCGGCGGAGGCCCGCCTATCACAGCCTCATGCCGCCCTGAGTGTGGCCGCGGGTGGACGGGGTGGGTTTCCCCTCCACCCGCATTAGTTTGGCCAGCCGCGAGGGGGCGGCGTCCGCGTGTGCCGGACGTCGCCTATAAAGAGAGGAAAAACATCGAGACGGAGCCCGCAGCAGGAGCGGGCTGGCGCTAGGAGGGATCCGGATGTCTTAACAACAGCTGTTCCCGGATCCCTCCTGTTACAGGCGCAGAGTGGCACACCGTGTGGTTTTAGTCGGTCCGAGTCCGACACACCACCCCGCCGCAAACCCCGGAGGGGTGACGGTCCGAGGGGATTTCCACACGTTAAAAAAAAAAAAAAAAAAAAAAAAAAAGGGTTTGTTTCAAGTTTTCCTTCTCTTACGGATAGTAGTATAATTTACATATTTTTTCCGTTAAATAAGTTATAATAAATATTAATTAAAATTTATCTTGTTACTCAATAAATACACCATCTATGGATATCCACCCATCTGTGACAGCAATAATTTAAACAATTTAATCTATTTATTTTTGCTACACAAGATACATAAATCATACAAACAAGGTACATTATAAAAACACGTCATTAATTTTATAAAACACTTAGCACAATGTGTGTAGCAAATTTTATTCTCTCTGTTTCAGTTACCTTAACAAGTTAGCAGAGTTCCTAAAATTATTTATATCATTGCATTTCAAGAGACTGGAAGCTGAACCAGAATTTGATGCCATTGATTTTTTGTCATATCTATTCCAATATACATTCCAGGTATGTTGTCTAACTGCATTTATGTTCTATATGACTGCACAAAAAATTGCCTTTTGGTTAAACTAAACTGTTTTTGGTATGGTTATGTTTATCTTCACCTGTGTGAAGTTGATAGAATTTTTCTGTACTATTTCCGCTTGTTGTATTTTTTTTCCACTTACTCTTCATCACATTTTCCCATAAGTTATTAATATAGAATAAAATTTTATCTTTTCTCCAATAACCTTGAGTTTCTTACCAAATAGTTAAAATTAACAAGAAAATAATTAAATAAATATTCTAAAATTTTCAAAGATTCTTTTAGAAATTAGTTACAAATTGTCTAGTAACATACTACACTGTTTTAAATGTATCATTCTGGTGTTGTTTTAGGTGCCTACATGTGCTATTTTTGTAAATTGTTTAGATGTATGGATACAATTTATAGACATTTTAAAGCCAGAAGATACACCAAAGTAAGTATATATTATTTCAGATTACATATTTATAATAATACATAATGTAATTTTTAAAATTGTACTTTGAATTTATGACTTTTTGTCTTTATATCCATTTAGGTATTGGGAAGCTTTACAAGCGGTGGTCAATGGTGTGTTGAACAAAATACAGTTTCAGCACAATAAAGCGCAACTACAACATCTCGATAACGACGTGTGCGACGATGACGTAAGTTCTTTCGTAATAACGTTGCAGCACAAATGTCTTTGTATATGAGTTTTCTGCAAAAAGTGTCGCTTTCTTTTTGCATATAGGATTATTATGTTTTAATAGTGCTTTATTTAATTGACAGATATAATATGTATATATTTTAAAATAAAATAAAAAGGAAAAAATTACCTCTATTAAAATTCTCTGCCAAAAAGTGCTTATAAAATACAAGTACTTTTCGTCAGTTACCCTCCTTCTCCCCTCTAGTACTTAACCCATTGCTTTAACACTAGGGGTTTTCTTCCTCGTAATTTTCAACTAACTGAATCTACTTTTAATACGATATTTGTTTTTTTTCTCTTTTGTAAGTACTTACTATATGAAACATTTACTAGGGCGAGACCGAATGGCAAACGTTCCTGAAACATTGTATTGAATGTATCGCTCGGGTTGCGGATTTGGCGCCTTTAGATGTTTTCACAGTAGTGGTGAGTATAAATATAATCCAAAATACTGCTATTAATTCGCCAGTAGAAAGTTTTTTAGAACGGAAAATAAATTATTCAGGTATGAGAAAGGTATAATTTTTCAAAAAATGTTTTTTTTTTGCATTTTTCATCTTAAGCACTTATGTTTTAACGAAATCTCCCAGGTCTAATTTCAGCCTCAACAGCATATATATAACACTCACTAGGCATAGACAAAATCCTATTTTTTTTTGTATCAAAGAGTTTACAGAGAAAAAGGTATTAAAAATTCGGATAAATGTTTGTAGTTGGAGCGATGGCAATGTCTCGCAGGTGTGCACGCTCGAGCGGCGGGACGTGGTGGTGAAGGCGAACGGCTACTGGCTGCACTGTTGGACCTCGCTACACTCACGCGAGTCCTGGGCAGATTGGCGCCGGCTCTGTTAGCCGGTCAGTTTACTTACTTACCTTTCACAGTATACATACCGATTAATACAGGTATAATATGTTTTGTATACATGTTGTTTTTATTTCCGGTAGAGTCTACATTTTAACGTATGGTAAATGAAAAGCATTCTCTGATTTCTAAAACGAAAGCGCGCGATGTACTATAATTTAATTATCAGAATAAAAAAAAAACTAAAAAAAAAAAAAACGATTTTTTTTATTCGTTATTAACTCTCTCCAACTTCAAGGTTGACTATAAGATATTGCCGTGGACATGAAGTCCCCCTGTGTATAAACTTACATGATGAAGTTATGTAAATAAACGTTTGTTTTGTCCGTGTGGTGACGGATTAAGAAGGAAGAGGAAGAGCCATGCTTCGGCATAAATAGGCCGGCTGGACCGGTGCGATACCACGGCCTTACAGAAAACCGGTGCATTTCACCGAGTGAGTGAGATTTCCGGAGCCCAACTCCCCCAACACCCCCTTATGACAGCATCGTTTAACAACAGTCTACTCCAGAGGGATAACAGTTTTTTTTTACGTGTGGAAACCCCCACGGGCCGTCACCCCGCTGGGGTTTGCGGCTTGGTGGTGTGTCGGAATCGGACCGATTAAAACCACACGGTGTGCCACTCTGCTCCTGTAATAGGAGGGATCCGGGAACTGCTGCTATTAAGACATCCGGACCCCTCCCAGCGCCTGCCCTCAACGGCGCGGGCACCACCTTCGGGTAAATTCTCTATTTAGGCGACGTCCGGCACACGCGGACGTAGCCTCCTCGCGGCTGGCCGTTATAGCTGTTGGAGGGGAAAACCCGTCCCGTCCACCCGCGGCCACACTCACTCACGGCATGAGGCGGTGGTAAGCGCGCCTCCGCCGCCCGGTTCGACGGCGACGAATTGGGTCCGAGTGAATGTTGTCGTCCCGGGCCCTCTCCGCCGCCTCCTTCTGCGAGATGACGTCTTCGCAGAAGGATACGACCGCGGTAAAACATCTGTCACTACCGGCCATGGAGCGTCCTCACTGCAATCGCAGTGGTGACAGGCGGGACTCAATTCCCTCCTAACGACCGAGTGCAGGTACTTCCCGAAGCAGCCGTGCCCGGAAAGGACCTGCGTCAGCCGGAAAGAAAGGGTCCCGTGCTGCCGCCCTGCCCACTCGACGATGACCGGCCGGAGCGCCTCCACGGCGGCAAAGCCAGCACTTGGAGCCTCCAGTCGGGACGACCAATGAGCCATCGTGGCTCGGTGAGCGGCCTCACGCCACTCGCCACTCGCGTATCTCTTTGGGCGGGGGCCGATTGCCGCTATCCGCCCGGAACTCAGCCGTCCGCCGATATACTTCGGCGAGCACTTCCGCCTCCAAATCCCACGGGGGTGATCCGGCCAATGCGCACGCCGCCTCCGTCGAAACGGTGCGGTGCGGTACGTCCAAATGGCTACAGATTCTGTGCTGCAGCAAATCCCCTCCGCAGAGATCGTGATTCTTGCCGACTTTAACGCTCACAACGCTGAATGGCTTGGCTCACGCAAAACCGATCACGCGGGGAGATCTGCCCTGACCTACGGCTTGTCACAGCCGATATGAGCGCCCACGCTAATCCCAGATGTGGAAAGTCATGAGACTTCACTGTTGGACCTTCTGCTGACCTCTGCTCCGGACGGTTACAAAGTCTCCGTATAGGCCCCACTTGGCTCCTCGGATCATTGCCTAATACGGAGTAAGGTGCCACTCATGTGCTCGCCGCGGCTGCGTATAGCAGGCTGCCGCCGCGTATTGCACTGTAGGTCAGCGAACTGGGATGGGATGCGTTTTTTCTTTGCGTCCCACCCATGGAGGCGGATTTGTTTCTTGCCAGATGATCCCGACATCGTTGACGATTCTGTAACTAATGTAGTGTTTCAGGGCATGGAACTATTCGTCCCATCTACATTCATACGGTGGCACATCCCAGCCTTGGTTATAGATCCTGCAAAACGGCGTTAATGCAGCGACGGTAGGTGATGTAAATACTAGCACCTACTGAGCACATCAGTCGGATTGGTGACTCTTTGGTGTTTGATGGCTGGTTTGGTGATTGATAGCTGGCTCCTTGCATCCAACTTGACTTTGGATGATTGGGGAAACGTACCGCGATGCCAGAGCTGTAGAGATGCAGTGATGACCCAGAAATCAGTGCGTAAAGCACTCTATTCCCTCGATATTCATAAGTCGAGTGGGCCAGATAGAATCTCCGCTATCATGTTGAAGACGTGTGCTCCAAAGTTGGCACCGGTTTTAAAGCGCCTTTTTGGAGTCTCCTACTCCCTAGGCGTCGTCCCGAACTCCTGGAAGGCAGCGTTTGTGCACTCGATCACCACAGAAAGGTGACCGCTCTGATCCGTCCAACTACAGGCCTATAGCCATAATCCCCTTGTTCTCTAAGATTAAGGAATACGTAATCAACTGCCATCTCCTCCGGTACCTAGAAAATCACCAGCGACTCAATGATCGACAATATGGTTTTCCCCGGGGTCCCTCAGCTGGTGATCTTCTCGTTTATATAACACACCGGTGACCACATGCGATCAAGACCAAGGGAGAGGCTTATGCGATAAGCTTGGATATAGCGATCGGGTGTGGCATAAGGTGCTTCTCTCAAAGCTCCCTTCCTTTGAGCTTCCCGAGCAATTATGTAACTAGGTCACCAGTTTCCTTGTAGGCAGAAGCAGTAAGGTCGTTATCGACGGTGCATGCTCCGACTTCGAGTCTGTAAATGCTGGTGTCCCGCGAGGCTGTGTACTATCACCCACACTGTATCTTCTGCATATCAATGATATCCTAATGCCTAATGCCTAATGATGCTATGCAAATTATAGCACGGGAGATGCATTTTATACCGGCCGCTCCAATATTTCTCGGGAAAACGTCATCGGGAGTCGAAACAAACTTGTGTCTAAAATTGAAACTTCCTAAGCGGAGGTTTCAGATTGGGGTCGACTGAATGTAGTCCATTTTAACCCAAAAAAGATATCGCCTCGGTTCGAGAGCACCTCCCCCACTACATCAGCCATTATCGGAATCCTAGGCATCGACATTTAGAGTGAAGTCCAGTTTCGCGGTCATTTAGATGTTACCATCAAATCGGCTTTGAAGAAGCTCAGTATGCTGAACAGATCGAGGCAGTATTTCACTCCAACCCATCGCCTCCAATTCTGTAAGGCGCAAGTCCGACCTCATAATTATGGAGTACTGTTCTCATCTCTATTCAGGGGCAATCTCAGTACCAGCTTCTCCCTCTTGACCGTAGTAGTAGAGCGACTGGAATCTTCGATAGCCAAAAGATCACCGACCAGCTCGATCGGCATTCTCTATCGTTTATATCAATTGTTCGGACTAATGCCGGGCGAAAGATTCTTCACTTGGATAATTGGCACTCCACCACCGTTTTTCACGACACTTTTTGCCTCGCACAACCAATCTACCTTCAAACCTTTAAGATAAGAGCGTACTCCTGCCTCAAAGGCCGGTAACGCGCTTGTGACTCGTGAGTTGCAGACATTCATGGGCTGCGGTAGTCGCTTTCCATCAGGTATTCCATATGTTCGTTTGCCCAACTTCCTTAAAAAAAATTGAGTATTGTATGTATTTTCCTATTGTACTGTAAATACTTTGTTCAAAATAGTCAATTTGTATAGCAGAGACGGAGAGCAGTCGTCGGTCGCGCGGCTGGTCGCTGGGCGCCACCCTCATCGAGCGCTGCGGAGCAGCGCTGGCGGGCGCGGCGCTAACGCGGCCCCATCGCACGCAACAGCATGCGCACTATGCGCACGCGCATATGCAGGTGTACGTATTTTTTTCATTATATAAGACTCATTAATAATACTAGTAAGAGGTCACCAATAGGATGTAATTATTTAATTACAGTAGAACAAATCATTGAAGAAAAAACTTTTCTTTTTTATTTTATTTTATTTTATTTTATTGAATCTCCAACAAGAAATACACCTTACATGCTAGTTACAAAGCAAATAAAATTTTAAGTCTTGTGCTTCCTCAATTATATGAGACCACAACATGGACACTACAAAAAAAAGATTAAAGACAGTGGCCACAAATGGCCTTTGTAAATAAGAAAAAAAAACCAATGAAAGAATTATAAGAATCAATTTTGCAAAAAAATTGTAAATCAGCAGCAGTTAAAATACACTAATACCTCCTAATAACTACTAATAACTCCTAATAACTACTAAATAAAAAGGAAGAAATTCGAGTAACAAACGGAATAAAAAATTGGGATGGCTACTATTTGGCTTAAAATCAATCAATAAAGAAGTTACAAAATTTAACAAAGAAGTTAGAAAATTTTAATCTATCATGCCATACATTAATTTTTCATTAGATAAGCCTAGTTTACACTGACTTTGCTTATTATTCACTGATCTTTGTATTTTCTTTTCAATACTAATATATTAACGCTAAAGACTCAGATTTTAAAAGCAATCAAATCACATGTAACATTTTATAGCTCAATTCTTAAGGAAAGTTACAGTTTCTGATTCTAGCCTTAATTTTTCTTTATTATAATTAAAAAATAAGTAGTACTGCAAAGACAGTTATTGTTTATGTCAGACACGCGGAGATGTTTGCGTGTATGGGTGCCTGGTGTTGTTACGCGAGTGAGTGCGGCGTGCCCGTTCAAACTATGGAGGGCCTGTTCTCTTCTGCAGTACCATTTCTTCTACCACATGAAATACCAGTAAGTTCAAAATAGTATCTATATGCATTACACTATTTTTTTTCTTACCACTTTCTTGAAAAACTATAATAAAGTAAATCAAAGCGATTTTCTAAAATAATTATCTGTTTTATCTATAATTAGGAACCACCACTTCTGAGTCACGCAGCCGCACACTTGTTGCTGAGTCTGGCGATGAACGTTAAGTTTAACACGGACCCGATAGCGCTAACCGGAGATCTGTATGAGCATGCTCAAAGATCTTTGCAGTACCTCGAAACTAAGGTAGGATTCACACGTTAAAAGCGTGTATTATGAAAGTGACACAAAATTTGTTTTAGTATATTTAGTAATATCTTCATAAATTGCTGCTTTTCATTGCGATACATCGCGGCGTTACGCTGTGTGATCGGTGCGCAGACAGCGGGCGTGGTGCGCGAGGCGCTGCTGGTGATGTCGCTGCGCGTCGGGCCGGGCGGGCCGGGCGGGGCCGCGGGCCGCACGCTGCTGTGCGCGTGGGGCGCGGCGCTCACAACCGCGGGTCCGGCGCTCGCGCTGCCGCCGCTCACTCAGCTGCTGCGCGCCTTCTGCTCGGCCAACACTCAGTACAAGAAGGTACTGTAACGACGTCCTAACTCTAAATATCAATAGGGAATATGCATGTATTTTTTTCAACAAAATTTCAAGTTTAAATGTGAAGTTGTCTCTAACCTAATTACCTACTAATTTAAGTAACGTCAATTAATTAAAAAATCGTTTAAGTTGTATTGCATAATTTCAAGAATTTTATGAATCCTGCATTTAAAACAAAAGATTAGGCAAATTGTAAAATGCTATTTGATTATCAAAATTATTGCCGTCTTTTATTAGGTGATAGCGGAGGGAGTACAAAACGCGGCTGAGACAGCACTGCGTATGTTATGTGAACCATCTTTCGCAAATGCCGAACAAGAAATTACCGACTTCTTTTTTGCCCTATTCACGGCGCTCCTACCACAACTTGGCAATTTTGCATACACCGCAATCGACGTGTTCTTAGAGGTTGCACAAAGGTATGTACTGAACCTTAACTGAAATTACTTGTTACCTTGTGAAATTGTTTGTACATTTACCTACTAATGTGTGTTATTTTGATCGGCACATCATTTTGATCTGACAATGTTGCTCAAAGGGTTCAACACTGTCTATATCATATAATACCGAGTAAGATGTCGAAAAAAGAGCAACCGTATGTTATTTACTCATCTTTTTACCATTGCATTTCATTGGATCGGTAACATGAATACAGTACACTCTGTACTCGGTGAGTGGTATTATGGCTTATGACTAAACGGTTGATGTAATGTTTACCTAATTTATACGTGCCATCATAAATGTTGTTCCTAAAATTCTTTTATTCTCAGTTGTACTGGATTCTCTTGCATACATCTAAATGCACTGTTATGCCACTTAACATCATTTTTATACTCTCCCTTAAATATTAAAATAATATACATAATTTTCAATTTGTATTGGACTCGGAATACACTCTGAAGTTTATGGACTGTACTCAGTCGATCGCCGGCTACCGATACTAAAGTGGTAGCGTGGTGCGCAGGGGCGGCGGCGAGAGCGGGCTGGAGCGGCTGGTGGAGTGCGTGCGGCTGGGCGTGGAGGCGGGCGGCGGCGCCGTGCTGGTGCGCGCCGTGCTGGAGCTGCTGCAGCGCCACGTGCTGCCGCGCGCGCCGCTGCACTCGCCCGACCTCACGCGCGCCGCGCACCGCCTGCTCGCCAGGTCACCGCATACCCATTTATTGTCAAACTTTATACATTCTTTCCAGTAGCCTACGCCGATAATTCGGTTAGGGTACTGGAAAGTAAAAAAAGTCGCGGTGAAAAATTTTTCGCAACTTTCTTTGACACCTCTATGGATCTATATAGGATTATAAGCACTGGTAGAAAAAAAAATCGCTCGAAAAATAAAAACTGATGTGATGTAAATTGAACGCGATACGGTGGCTATTTATTTCGAAATATCGCTGTGCGGACGGGCCCACAGTCGCTTAATCAAAAATTACGTTAATGTAAATTTTGTCTTACAATTTTAGCATCCCTCAGAAATAGTACCTGTTTCTTTGTAAGGCACCCTATGTCCGTTTCTGTACTGTTGACAAGTACCGTAGTACAAACTCCGTCAACGTTTGAACAATGTTTGAACTTGTAGGTTCCCAAAGTAGTAGTAAAGCCAAGAAGACAATCTTAGGTACGGAATGGCGCCGTCTTTTTAAATATTAAAAGAAATGAAAAAATATTTTTATAGCGTGCTGATCGACCGTTGGCGTTACTTCTTCCCTAACAAGTGCGAGGAGGCGGAGAGCGAACGTCGTACGGACGAGCTGCGCGCCGCTCTGGCCGCCTTAGGCCGAGCTCTGTTACAGTCCGACATCGAACTACTCAGGCACACTATAGATACCCTTGACGTTCTCAATTCGAGGTGGAAGTTGTATCATAAGGTACAATTTACTTTTCATATTTTTCATTAACCAAGCCAAACCGTAAGACTATTTGATTTTATTTGCATGTAAAAATTTTGATATCTCATATTTCAGAAGTGGTTAATTTTGGCATTATTGTTTTTTTATTGGAATTAGGTATCCTAATACCGTATTAATCCAAAGAAGTTTAATTGTCTTCTATGCAGTGTCGTAACCAGTGTTTTAAGCACACGCTGCAAGCTTCTTTAATAAGAATTATGCACGTTACTCCAAAATGAAAAAAATATTTTTATTTGTACATAATTGCTAAAAAAAGATACTTATATAATTATTTTGAAATTGATCATAATTTAATAATCAAAAAGTGTTTTTTTTTTTAATTCTAAAACGCAACGCTATTGGTGGAACAAAAACAAGAAAGACTTAACACAATGACTGAAACCGGTTTTGTCAAATTACAATCAGATGATCTTCCTAAAATAGACGTGTTTATGATGATCATAAATTGTTATTTACTTCTTCTCAATCTGAACTAGGTTATGTTTGCGTGAAAGTATTTAAAAAAATATGTGCAGGTAGTACTACTACTAACCACTAAGTAAAAATGATTTTCGCAACAGAGAAGCAGCTAAAACACGGCTTTCGCAATAGGAAAGAAACTTTGTCAGGTGCAGTTTTGGCACGTTAGAAAGACACACACACATTTTTTTTTTCTTTTTTTTTATTCCCTTTTGAATCTACAATCGGCTATTATGAGCACTAATTAGATAAGGTCTAGGGGGGAAAGGTAAGTTGCTATTCCATTAAATAGCACCAACTATTTTTTGGAAACTCTTCAGTTTCTTCGGTCGAGTTCAAGGATGTGCTGCCTTTTCAGGCCCTTTATGTTTTCTCTGTCTATTAGTAAGTAGGTCTTTAGCTATAGCGTTGCTATGGTTGTTGAGTCTTTCTTTGTACTTTTTGCTGTAATTTTTAACTTCCTCCCTTACAGGTGGCATTTCAAGGTATAGGTATATATTTCATAGTTAGTTGTTTGAGGATTTCACCTGTTATGAGGTCAAAGCCTGGTGCTTTTTTGTTTTCGAGTTTGCAAATAGTTTTCTTCAATTCTCTGGGGGTTACGACGGACAATGGCGGCGACAATTGCTGATCACTGAGGAGTATCCTGTCCACTTCAGCATCAAATTCAGTCATCGATGGCTCATTCGGAGTAAACACTTCTCTTAAATGCTTGGCAAACAACTCTGCTTTTTCTTTTCCGCTTCTGGCCCAAGATTCTGCGGCACTTTTTCTTATTGGGGGGTTGTGACTTTGTGGTCTTTTAAAGTCTTTTGTTATTTTCCGCCGAGAGTAGTTGTCTTTTTTATAAGTGGAGACTGTTGACAGCTTATGTTGAAATGTTTCGTTCTGATTTTCCTTTAAGAGAGCTTTGAGCTCTCTGGGGGTTCTGTTATAATTTGTCCTATCCATATGACATCTGCTTGTGTGCCATTGCCTTCGCAGCTTCCGCTTTTCTGCCAACTTGTTACGAATTTCAAGTGGGATGTTATTTTTTGGGACAGAGTTATTTTGAATCGGTGTAGCTCGCCACGCAGCGACCTGGATGAGATTAGTTATGTAAAACGTAGCCTTGTCCATGGCCTCTTCTATTTTAAGTTTGACTTTTAGATTTGCTTCATGTTCTAAATACCTTGCAAATGCATCCCAGTCAGTTTTGTGATTGTATAAGGTAGATATTGGCCCTTTAGTTATAATGGAAGTGCTAAATATTGCTATAATTGGTGTGTGGTCAGAAATAGAGTCAAGTGAGGATTCCACTTTAAAGTTAATGTCAGACAGACCTTTTACAATAAAGAAATCTATAAGATCAGGGATTTTGTTCACATCAGTTGGTTAGTAGGTTTCTAGTTATCGATACACTTTTTTAGTTCTCGCCCTTTAGTGGTCAATCTTGAACCCCAATGGGTGTGTTTGCAGTTCCTAGCTCCGCCACTTATGAATTTGTTTCCCAGACTCTTAAAGTAGTTGTCAAATTTGTTCTGTTTTGGATTATGCTTAGGTGGGCAGTAGATTGCGCTTACATTTAGGGCCCACTTTCTCATCTATGGTTATGGTCGTAGCTTGCATCCAGTCTTCCTGGAATTGACTGTGTAGATAGTGTTTTATGTTACTTTTTATAATTACAGCAGAACCACCATGAGAGGTACTATCAGGGTGATTTGTGCACACGTTATAGTGGTGCATATTGAAACTTTTTTTATCATTAAGGTGGGTTTCTGATATTAGAGCTATGTCAATTTTATTTTCTTTTAACAATAAATCCAGTGCCTGTTTCTTTGGCGCTAAACTATTTATATTCCAGGTGGCGATCCTCAGGGAAGGCATTATGATAGTTTACTGATGAGAGTGTTGACAAGGTTCATCATAGTGCTTAGCTATGTGATCAGCTGGTCAATTCTTTCTGTCTGTGCGATTATAAGTGCTTCTAGATTTGGTCTGTGTTATCGTGAAGTATTTTCAGTTTCTATTTGTGTGATATGTGTTCTCTGTGACTCATACCCAGCGTTTTCCTTTGTATGTGTTGTCTTCGATGGCGTATTGTTATCATTGTTTCTTGTATATATTCTCTGGGTTTGTATGTTGTCTTCATTGTTTCTATTATATGTTCTCTGAGTGTGTGTGTAACCCTCGTTATTTTTCATTTTTGGTTTCTGTGAGCTTATAGATTTATAATTATATCCTATGCCTTGTGTATCTGTAAGGTTTACATTATTTATTTTTTGGTTTGTTTCTGTTTAGTTTTTCCATCTTAAATTATTTCACTGTAGAGTTGTAGGCATTCAGTAGCGGTTAGATCGCGAGTTTTACTTCGGCCAGCTAGGTATTGGAAAGTGTTGTCAGGCTCAGTTCTAGTATCTGTTGGAATGTATTTTGTGTTGGGCAGTGTCAGGCTCTCTTCGTCCTCGTTTGTCCTTTTTGGCGTGGTTTGTGAAACGTTTTCTAGCTAAGACTTCCCTATACACTTGACTTCCCTTGTAGCTGGCAGGGTGCAATCTTGAGCAGAGAGCACATAGTGCTGGTGTGTTTCTATCGGTTGTACACATAGTAGTTTCGTGAGCACCAGCCCACTTAACACATCTACAAGGCCTCATATAGTTATTTTTACTGTGCCCATATTGCTGGCATCTTTTGCACTGTACTATGGAGTTTTTTTTGGGTCTTCTATAAGTACTTTTTGGTTGTAAATAACTTTATGTCTTTTACTAGTTTGTTGCTTTCATGTTGGGCTACATTGACGAAGAATGTATTTATTTAGTGGTTCCTTAGTCTCTGGTTTTCGGGCTGTTACAATTTCCCCTTGTACAAAGTGGCCAGTGCTCTCTATTGCGGCAATAACTTCTTCTTTAGGTGTACTAAAATGTAGGTGTTTTATAACGATTCGCATACTTTTTTGCAAGTGAAGGTATATCCTATTAGCCCCTTGTTTCGAATGTGGTCTATCATTATTTTATACTTTTCTACATTATTTGTTGTTATGATAAGTTGATTTTTTGAGATTATCTTATACGTGAAGTCTTCTTTACCTACAACTTCTTTAATTGTTTGGGTAAGTTTGCTCAGATTTTCAACCCCATAAATTATGATTGGTCACCACCAATAATGTCCCAATCAAACGGATACCCAACACCACACAGATGAAGATATGTGGGTCCATCGGTAGACCGAGGCGTCAGTCTAAAGATGGCGTGGACGTATACGAAGAACTTGTCGGTGAGCGCCTGATAGCCTGGCTCCGCACTGCCGAGGCATACGCTACTGGCATTCTAAGAACTTTATAGGTACGTGTTCCCTGGTAGAAAAACACGCATATTCCCAATTGCGCCCCACTGAAAATATTTTCGAATATTGTAAGAGGCGTCTACATCCATTTGGGTGGTTTGATTTGGTTTGGTTATTCCTGCGCTTCCCAGCGTCTGGCCCTGTACTTAGGCACCGCTTTAGTTATCGCACCATTGATCAGAATGTGGTAAAATATTCTTGTATAATTTATTTGGAAGGGTTACTAGAACCCCAAAAATGCACATACATAAAAAACTGAAGGTTAACCACACGCTTTTTAGGGTTCCGTACCTCAAAAGGTCGTCCGTCTGTCTGTCAAGACCCTTTATCTCGGGAACGCATGGAGGTATCGAGTTGAAATTAAAACCATATACTTAGGTCTACAGTCCCTTGAAGCTGTGAAAAAAGAAACTTCTAAGTCATCATAAAAAAAGATACGGCCGCTTATGCCGCAAATAACGCATATTTCGACACACTCAAGGGAAGAAAATTTCTTAGGGTACTTCCCGTTGACCTAGAACTATGAAATTTGGAAAGTAACAAAGAAAAAGATTCAGATTTTTAATATCAAATCAAATCATAAAAAATTTGGTCTTTATTCAAAGTACGTTCATTCATCGAGGTATAATTCTACTAATAAAACACAATGACATAAGTAATTGTAGGTTTTTTAAACTGAATTTCGGGAAAAGCTCGAAAAAACTGCTAGACTCGATTCTTGAACTATTTATAATGTACCTACAAATTTGTACGGAACCCTCGGTGGGAAAATCTGACTCGCACTTATCCGATTTATTTTTATTTTATGCGAATAACATAGAAAAACGAAAAACTCGCCAGATAGAATTTAATATTTAAACTTATATTTACAAATGTCATATTTCATAGGTAATATTCCGCAATGAGTTTCTGGGCGAATTTCTGTCAGTGTTACTGGCGGGACTGGCGGAAGGAGGATGGCGCGCGCTCGTGCGCGATGAAGTGACGGCCGCAGTTCACGCGATGGCCATGGTGGACTTCCCCACATTCCGCACATCGTTCCTACCGCATTTCTTGAGTTCTCTCCCAGGATTGTCTCCAGAACATCAACATCACTTGGCGCAGTTTCCACCTGATACGGTTTGTTTTTCATGTTATCTTTGTTGCACTCCTTAGTGTTATAAAGGTTTTACCAGCTAGGTATGATGACAATTTAGACAGTGTCGGAACAGGAATGTAGGAAGGAGACAGAATGAAAACCCACCTTTATAACATAAAGAAAATGAATATCCCACCGCAGTCCATCCAGTCGCAGTTACATCTCAATGTTTAATCAATTTATCAATTATTCTCATTCATTCTAATTAAATAAACGATGATATTTCATCGTTTCGACCGATCAAATAATCTATACTAATATTATAAAGCTGAAGAGTTTGTTTGTTTGTTTGTTTGTTTGAACGCGCTAATCTCAGGAACTACTGGTCCGATTTGAAAAATTCTTTCAGTGTTAGATAGCCCATTTATCGAGGAAGGCTATAGGCTATATATCATCACGCTAAGACCAATAGGAGCGGAGCACCAATGAAGAATGTTTCAAAAACGGAGAAAATTTATTACTATTGAGAGACGCAGACGAAGTTGCGCGGGTCAGCTAGTAATATTATAATTATAATAATCTGCCACATTCACACTACGCTATCTAGTCCCAAACTAAGCAGTGCTTGTACTGTGGGTACTAGAGAACTGATAAATACATATATTCCTTTTTATTGTAAATACATACATGTTGTACATAGAAAATAGACCATAGACCAATAGACCCAGACCAAAACCAACATTACATGTTCATGCATACAAATGTTTGACTTGAGCGAGAATCGCACCCGCGTCTTTTGGGTCGTAACATTCCGTAACAAAGTTTGTATAACAAACCACTACGCCATCTATAAATAACTTCCATGCTTACCAGTTAGTAAAACACCGTTGTGACTGTACGCTATAGGTATATATTGTATTGTGTGTTGCAGGATTTACCAACATTCACCCAAAATATCCAGCGTCTGATGAACGACGTAAACTGTTATCGAGCGTATAGTACGCTCGCACCGGTACAAATGGCCACCTAGCATCAGATGCACCACTCACCAGTCGCTGTGATATTGACACATTCATTGTGATATGATGTACATTTGTAGATAGTTGTACGACAAATCAACTATATTAGTATTTTTATGATTATGCGATGTGGATTAGTTTCAGTACCCTGTAGAAACTTTACAGGCAATGGGTAAACAAGGTATTAATCCTGTAGTTCACGTATACTAAACGCGTACGCATTTTGTGCATTGCGCGTTTATATTTACCTTCTTTAATTACCGTTTGTATTTTCCAGTTGCGTACACATACCGTATGTGGTGCCGGTTTTAGATCGTTATTAGAGGCACACCGCCACTAAAATTTTAGAGACTGTACTTTCAAGCTTTTTTTAGATGTGTAATAACCTCATTGTTAAGAGATATATGTGAGTTTAAAGGTGTGAATACCCTTGTTTAGATTTTTTCTTAGTGTGTAGTAAAGTAGTGCAGGAAGAAAATTTTGAAATGTTCTTAAACTGTAATAATATTGCATATGGATACAAAATATTATCCTGTGTACCAACTTAAAATATTTATGTCAATTGTTCTTATTTTAAAAGGTCCTGTACCTTTAAAAGTGAAATTAAGTCAATATAATTCACTTTTTATCATTAGTTATATGTTTAACATAATTAAAAGTAATGGAGACAAATCAAGTTCAGGACTGAATTTGGAATATAAGACTGTACATAATAATGGTTTATGTTAAATCTTAAATCGGTAAATGTTTTATAAGTCGCGTTTGAGCTTTTTAAAAAACATTTAACTGCATTTACATTTGAGAATAGTTCAACTAGTCACTGGGTAAATTTTATGTATAAAAGCGTAGAATGGCGTTAAGGCATATTAAGCATGAGTATGCACCGAAAATGGTACCAGACTGTACACTATTCTATTTGTATATGTACAACCACTGATCTATATTATATTTAAGACACGAGGGAGCGCCTAAAGAATTAAGTGCTTAGTGATGGAAGCTTCCATAGATAGATCTTGAACTTCTATTATTTAGAAATATGAAGACCACCCATTTTATCTAAATAATAAGTAAAAATGCAAAAATGATTTACGTAGTATTTATTGCATTTCATGTGTTAATCTTAGTTTGCAATAAGTCCCAGTTGAAATTATGTAATTGGAAGAGCATATATAGGAAAGCTTTAGTTTTATATAGTCTGTATGGTTATTACAAAGGGAAATAATTGGATGTAGTTGTTTGTTTTATTTTACCTCTGTTAGTAAGTACACTTAAGTCAAATGTCTTATCTTGCTACACTAAAATCCTATATACACTAGCCATCTATCTCAACTTGCCCAGTGTGTAAGAATGACTTCTTATTTCAAATATTTAAAGAGTACCCTGCTACAGCAGCCTGAACTAAATGAAGGTACATTTGTTAATTAGTTACAAATTAGAAATCAATTTTTACACTGATTAGTATATTATAATACATGGTTATAAAATTGTTTCACAGTTTAGAAAATTGTGGGACTGTTTGTCTACTATTTCTATTAACTCGATTCTGAATACTGCAATAACAATTTGTTATATACTTCCAAAACAATTTTTTTGTGGCAAGCATATAATTCGAAGTCAGATGTGATGTCAACCCAGCGTACCCCAGCAGCGTCACTCCCTGCATGTAGCTTCATTCCACCAACAACAGTACCGTTATTGTCATGAAAGTTGTATGCAGCACTTTCCATCCAAGCATTATCAGTGTTGCGATGATCATCGATATACCCTTCATACACAACATCGCCACCACTGAAGAATTTATCGAATTTGACGAGCCAAGTCTTCTTTTCAGCTGTAATCCAAACAGACACATATGTTATGAACCACGTTAAAGGACGACATTAAGTAATCAAACTAAAAAATTGCTAAACAAACCATTGTTTAGCAAATTTTTGAATGCAATATGTATTAAAAATATGTTCCATAAGTTAAACTTTCTTCTAAGTAAATAAGGTTTTCATACAATACATGTATTAAGTAGTTATAAATCACACATATTTATTTCATTATATGTATCTAATAACACCACTAGCCTTGTTCTGCACATAGTATATTCCGTCTAGTATGTTATATCCTCACCAAAGTACAACAAATAGATACTATGTAACTATCACTATTTTTTATATTTATATATATACTACTTTGATTTCCTCTTTTTATCTATTTCCTAACACACCAATCATTACCCTATACCTCTTCCCCTTCATTTTGTCCCTCCATGCCATGGTTGCCTGTAAGAGATTGCCTCTGAGTGATCCCTTTGTACTTGTCTAACCAAATTTATTTTAACTTTTGTATATTTATAACTGGTGTACATTAAAGCGATATATTATTATTATTAAAAATAACGTATTTTTTTGGAAACTGGTAAGTGCATTGAATATTCAACCTTTAACAGAGCTTGCAGTGTCATTGATCTGCTAGTCGTATGTGGAACAAATTACTCAAAAAATCGTAATCCGTAAAGATCACAATTGAATGTCTCACATTTACTTACAGATCACATCACAAATCACATCACATCAACAGCCTTTGATAGTCCACCGCTGGACATAGGCCTCTCTTTAGAAAGGAGGTTTTGGCCTACTATACCAAGCTGGCCAGACGGGTTGGTATAGGATTTGTTTCAAGTTTTCCTTCTCTTTGCAGTGCTGTTGTCCTGCGTGGTTTGTTCCCTTAGTCGCCTCTTACGACACCCACGGGATGAATAGGGGTGATGACATTCCGTATTCTTAATCCGTCACCACACGGACACTTACAGATACAATATTCTTATTTCTCATAGCTCAAAGTAGAAACTTACAGGAGTATAATCAATTGTTTTCTTTCTCTGCTTCAAGATATTGTCATTTGAGTTCTAATTAGAAAATTCCTCATTGAAAGTTAAATTCTATATGGAACCCTATTGTTATAAGGATATCCTCTAGGTAGGGGTGAACCCCCTGGACTTTTTACTTATAAACCTTATTTATTATAATAATTCATTTTACCCTTTAATTCGAAAAATAAAATTATTTCAAGATTTATTACTAAACAATTAGTTTCAAAATTTGTGTATCCTGCACATAAAAGTATTAATTCCTTAAACAAACTCCTAACTGTAATATTCTTCAACAGTCTTATATTAAAATTCTGAAATTAGGTGCTATAAATTAATAAAACTATCATTTTTAAATATTTAAATGAAGACAGATATAATTCATTCATGTTGTAGGTTGATATATAAATATTTCATTGAAGAGAGAGACATCATTGTAAAAGCTGTGGAGAAATTGCTTACAAACCCTTGCCATAGATGTTTTTGCCAATTGCAATTGCCAATGTGTTTGTTTCAATAAAATATAGTTTCAATTGTTATAAGGAGGTCATTGCTACAACATTTTATTATATTAAAATAAAATGTGTAAAAATAGAAAACTTTTTCTTTTGACTTTGGCAAGCACCATTTAACCCATAGTTAAATATGATGCGAGTGTATGTTCATTGGAGTAATCCAGTTTATTGATTGTCCAAATTTGATGAACTTTGATTCTCAAATTTGTTGTAACATTTACACAAGATGTATCTTTTAAGGTTTTTTTACAATTCATTCATTAAGCTAAGCAAGTCAATACATGAGTTGGTGTAATAAGATCCACATAGGTTTAAATAGCATTATTGTTATTGCCTATGAGGCTTATGAAATCACATTCATACCTTCACTCATAGTGTCAGAGTTAGTCGCTTCTTCTCTGAATTCTCTAACAGCTGTTGTTGCCACCTTTTCACCAGGGTCAACCATTCCACCTGGTAGTGCCCATTCCCCTGTATCAGAACGCTTTATTGCTACGAACTGCAGAATAGGCCTATAAATAATATAATTATGTAAAAATTGCATCATAATAGTAAATATAAGAAAATATTTATAAGAACAATTTAAATTACTTGTTATTTTCATCAAGTGCAACTTCACCATTGTCAAATCTTTTCCAGGTAGTAACAATAGGATCAGCAGCATGATTTGGTCCCCATCTACCAAGAACACCTCTTCCAGTTATTCCAGTTCTTCCAACAGGGTTGAGAGGATATCCATTTTCTACATTATATTTGCCCGTGTAACTGATTCTGCTTATTTTACCATCAATTTGGTTAAAATTAGGTTTGAAGTTTGGGTCTCCTTAGAAAATAAATGTTTGCAATGAGTTTTAAATAGTGCAGGACATTGGTGCCGTCATTGTCTAAATAAAAGAAGCTTTACGATTATATGTCGTATTAAAATTATTTTCGTCGTATTAACATATACATACAAGTGATTTGGTGTGTACTCGTATGCCAAAATTAGACATAGGTACGCTTACCTATATCGGGGTCTGCATAAGGCTTTCCATTTATGTGAGGTGAAGTATAATTTACAGGCTTATATTCTATAAATTCCGTAGACCAACTAACTTTTTCATCAGGCACAGTAAACCTTTCAATGTTAGAACGAGGGTAGAGACCTCCACGACATTTGTAGTGTATTGAGACCAACATCGTTAAGATCGTAGGTCGAACCATTACAAACTGACAAATAAAAATAATCGTTAATAATTTTACTAAATTATCATTATCAAAGAACATAGGTAGCGGGTAGCTTTTACACTTCACACTTGTTTACAACTACCTAGTGATTAAATGGCAGTTTGGATTATAATGACAGGTAATGCCAATAACAGCTGATCGTTTTGGCGCAGAACTTAGAGTGCATGCCTATAGAGATTAGTTCATCGCGGTGCAATGGTGGTCTGAAATGATTAAAGAAATCTTAAATAAAGGTTATCTTTTTCGTGGAAATAGCTATAGCCTATGTATCCTTCCTCTTATCACCCATATCCTAAATTATTATATTATTTAAGAAACTGGAACCAAAGAATCCTACCAAACTCTTTTGTCGAATAACACAAACTGACCCTCAATTCTGATATTTTATGTTCACGCCAAGCCACTGTCATACCACTGACACGCTAGTGAGATGCCATCGAGTGGCCATTGGCATCGGTATAAATATCGGTAGTCTACACTAACTCAGTGTCTTTGCAGTGGCGATGGAATGGCACTGGCTCATCAGTGGTGATATCAAAAAGATTGCCATATTTAGTCAAATAAATAAATAATTTCCTTGTAATTTGAAAATATATTACGTTCTTTTTGAGGAAATGATTTGGCCAATGGCCACTCGATGGCATCTCAATAGCGTGTTAGTGGTATGACAGTGGCTTGGCGTGAACATAAAATAGCAGAATTGAGGCCCTAGAATGACTTACCCAAAAATGGTGTGCTTTGGCCCAGCAGAAAAAGTTCGAATTTTATTGTTTGAGATTTACAGATATTTAGTGTATGACGTCGTCTAACTGTGTATGGTAAGTAAAAATTTGTGCATCCAACCATTGCGGAGTTATTCACGAAAAACTATTTCGAAAAAGTGCAGCTGGAACAACGTTGTCCCAGCGGCACTTTTTTTATATAGTATAAAAAAGTTATTGTTTGAGATTTACAGATATTTAGTGTATGACGTCGTCTAACTGTGTATGGTAAGTAAAAATTTGTGCATCCAACCATTGCGGAGTTATTCACGAAAAACTATTTCGAAAAAGTGCAGCTGGAACAACGTTGTCCCAGCGGCACTTTTTTTATACTATGGACGTAGAAGAAAAAAAATGGTATCAAAAATTAGTGTATGACGTGAGGTAATTGTGTATGTTTAAATGAAATTTGTGCGTAAATAAACTGCGAAGATTGAATATCTTCGCAGTTTATTGACGCACAAATACTTCACTTGATTTTACATGAATATTTAGAATGATATTTTCATCGTTAATTTTTTTTTTGCATTCATTTTTCTTAATAAAACAGGCCACTACTGCTGTTCAGGAAGACTGATGCCGTCCTGCGTTTTCTGCTTAAGACGAGTTTTTCTAGATTCTCACATTTTCAGATACCCTATATATTTACTTACATATAAACCTATGTCTAATATTCACATCTAAAAGAGTCATTGTTTCTTGAAGTTTTTCATAAAAACCTTAAACCAATTTAAACCGTCCATAGGATAAAAAAAGTGTCGCTGGGACAATGTCCAGGCGGTACTTTTTCGAAACAGTTTTTCTTGAATAACACCGCAATGGTTGGATGCATCTGTTAATCTCAAGCAATAAAATTATTTTCAAAAACTTTTTCCGCTTTTATTTTAATTTTTAACCAGTGTACAAAAAATATGTATCTGATGTTTCGTGACCAGCCATGTGCTGACTGCATATCCCTAGAGTCATGGAATATTCCTAACACTACTTTGGCTAATCAGCGTTTGTCTAATACATCCTTCTATTACAATCTCTAATAGACCCTTCTATTACAATTTACAAGTTGCAATCAGGCTCGCCGCTAGCCGTATGATCGCCCACGTGCAATATCGATTAAGCCGCCCCACGATTCACCGAACTTAAAACTTTTCGACTGGTATTGGAGATTCCCCACACGTCTGCGCCTTAAGTGATTAAAAATTTCCACAGATTCTCTTTAGGATCTGTTCGCACAGCGATATTTCACCTAGTTTTTTTTTTGTAAAATTTTGTGACACGGGATCTATATTAAAAACACTATTACATTTTGTGCACTATTCGCAGTACGTACTAGGTTAATTCTTTGATCGCAGAATACTGAAGATGAAGAGAAACAAATACGAACTGAAAAATCATTCTTCAACGTATCAGTTGGGAGAGCCATTTGTGCCGAACACAAATGGACCGGTTTGGCTGGAGTGATGCCGCGGCCTCACCGGTGTTAAGCTATTCTTTTGTTGCTTTTCATCGAATAAGTGCCCTCGTGCCTTATTCCGGTTGTGTCATAATCCTGTGACCCATGTGGTTAACGGGGCGCGGTTGCATGATAATCTGTAAAGTGAAAAGACATGCCGGGGCGTCCCTTATGTTAAAGCGTGCCTCGGTATAATTGTATCGAAATAAAGTAATATGAGTTTTAAAGACATTGAAATAAGGATAAAAAGAACTTGATAAGAAATTAAATCCTACGCCAAGTCGTACCGTGTCGCGACATCAACTGAACACCGCGCCATCTCTGGTAGTAGCCGCAGAACCAGGTGTAACCCAGAACGGAAATCCCTGATACCGTGTGTGGTAACCACGGTTTCCCCTCCCTGCCCCTAAAGGCGCCCGGAGCGCGTTGCGTCATCTGTCACCCCCAGACCTGCGCTTATGGAGGACGAAGATCATTGCCCGCGGTACCTGGTCTAATCCTCCCCCGATCCCACTTAGCCTTCTTCGCGAATATAATTTGCTCGAAGGAGTTAGCGGAGTCTTGAGGTCATGCCTCTACTCCACACACACCGGGCATTCACTCAACATGTGAAGCGTCGTATCCACGTTCTGGCCATCACAGTGGTGGCACCCAGGCGTTGACTCTTTACGGATCATAGGGGGGATCAGAGGGGTCCCGTGTTTCCTCTCGAGCCAATACCCTATAACAGGTCTTACCGCCGCAATAACGGCGTGCCAGGATTAAGCTATGAACACCATCTAACTTCACACTGGCCAGGTTAAAAATCCCGAAATTTCTTGAATAATAATTAATTTCGTCCGTCGCCTAATTCTGCGAAGAAGTAATGTATATCAAAGAAGAAGAGAACTGAAGAGAGATTATATTATATTCGCTTTTCTCCTACTAGGTCTCTCCCAGAAAGAACGAGAGCAATATATTTTTACACGTGCAGGACGATAGGACTAACAAAATATTATTTTTTAGATTTTTGTTTTCCTACTAAGTTAACATAGGGTCGTATTAGTTGCAGATCCTATGGAATCATTGTTAGAACGCATTTTATATGTTAAGTAAATATATAAAGACATGCTCAACACATGATTGACACATTTCTAATCCTCAAAGGCCCAGTAAAAGAATGGAAACGTTATTTATCATTCTTATCAATTACTAATATAGAAAAGAAAGCATTTTGATTTTGTAAATAAGCTTTGTTTAATTATTTTGTCAGTATCCAAAAATGATAAATTGAGAAACTAAAAATGTATTACTTTAGTAAGTATATTTAGAACTAATCTTGCAAGTAAATAGGTATTTAACTTTCTTAAAAGTTCTGTATTAGAAAGAAATCGTATTTATTGCATTAAGACACCTTTAGATTTTTTAATAATATTTATTTTCTTCTTCTCGTTGACTTTTTAGCAGTAGCTGGTTTCTTGAAAACTGCATCTTCATCTTTTTTCTGAAACTCCTCATCTAAAGCAAAACCAAAAAAATAATTCTTTTGTATTATGTTTAACTGCATACATTTAGCAAAAAAGCATAGGTAAACAAAGGAGTTGAAGATTGACTAAAGAGACATATTAATAAAGCTACAATAATATACAAAATTATAAAAACATTATTTAAAGTCACCTGAGTCATCGGAATAGTTTACTACAGCCTTGTTAGTTCTGGTCGGGGCTTTTCGAGAAGACTTTCTTACAGTAGTTGGTGGCGAGTTATCACCGTCGTTCGGCGGCTCGTTCTTACAAATAAAATAAAATATTAAACATGTACCTAAGGGTTTACCTGACATTAATGGTAATTGAATAAGTAATAACAATGAGTATGGTTATTTTTTTTACACAAACTAGTTAAAAATAAGTACGTAGTTTGATACCTCATCAGGACTAGAGGAAGAGCGGCGCTTGTTCCTCCGCGGCGCAGGACGACGGCGGGGGGTGGCGGCGGCAGGGCGGGCGGCGCCAGGGGCGGGCCGGGCCGCGCCGGTGTCGGGGCGGCCTTTTCGCGCCTCACTAGAGCTGTCCTCGTCTGCGGTGTTGTGTTCGTCGTTATCGCGCACCGCGAAACATTCTTCTATTTTGTCACCCAACTCATTTACGAGAGACTGAAAATATATTTTTTTTATTTACCGACGTACATAATATACTAACTAGATTTTTAAAGGAGTCAAATTCACTGGTCTCGGTGAATCTGTCTTAGGCTTAACATTAAAAACTGTTTCAGTAATTGTGTTTACAAAAGTTTGGAAAAAACTACGACAACTTTTAAGGGCGCTACACACGGCTAAGATACTATAATATTTTATCTTAAGATACAATATCGCTCGCCATACTCTATCTTACGATACGAAAATATGAAATAAATATTATCTTCGTCGTGTGTAATGGTCCATTGAATAGTATGGCGAGCGATATTGTAAGCGTAGAGCGGAAAAAACGAAGCGAAGCGGTAACCACGCTTCGCTTCGTTTTTTCCGCTCTGGAACAGTTTTATTTTTATATACGAAACGTACAAAAATGACGTGTGTACATTTCTTTAATCGATACACAACGTGAAAGCATATCAAACGTACAATTTAACTAATAATTAATTTATAACATTATCTACTCTACCTCTCTGGAACAGTACTTTTCAAGATATATTTATTTTGCTAAGTATGTGACAGATTGTTGTTATTGTGTGTGTTGATCTACTACTTTAGAGTCATTACGTAAGAGACGATTTTTAATCATCATCATCAGCCTATCCCAGTCCACTGCTGGACATAGGATATTCGGCTTCTTGCATCCAGCTTGTAACAGTTATTTTTTTAGTATATTTGTATTGCGTACGGAGTTGCCAAAAGCGACACCTATTTCCCCCAGTCGCATTCGCTGATTTATCTAATGTAGTTTGTAGCTACAGTATTGATGTTCTTCGTTCGCCGTCGGACCACTAGATGGCGTTTGTTTGTAGATAGGTCATTTTATTGATTTATCATGACAAATTGTATAGGTATTGAGAGTGTTTTGTTATGGTAGGAAGCGAGTTACTTTTGATTTTGTTCGTGTTAACTTCGTTGATAATTTAAATGTCAAAGTAAAATGTTAAGAAGGGATTATTTCTGGAAACTTCGGAAACCGAACATATATAAGTCCGGCTTTCAGCCACGGGAGACACTCTGCTATCTCGTGTCTTCCAATCTTAAATAGTGTATTGTCTTGTGATTTTATTTTCATAATATATTATCTGTTAAAAGTACCCACGAAAGTGGTGAGTATATTATTAATTTTTCTTGTACCTATTTGTTTCTGGAACCTGATCGATAATATGAGTGCTAATCCATTCGTAGGGTCCCAGATTTCGGGGTCAAGACGGTCAGTCTCAGACGGCGTGCTTGTTCGTTTGTGGCCTTCTGGTTCGAATTCAAGTTTCTCGGTACCCTCTGGCAAGCTGGCAGTCACGCGGCTCACCAAGCAAGCGGACAGCCGTACCCAAGGGTTACGTACTTCTATTTAACTTTATAAATACCAATAGTGAACTTTTCTCAATATCTAATATAAATAGCCGACTCGGGCGGAAGGGGAAGTGACCTCCTGGAGTGAAGACGAGGAGGCTCCGAGCACCATCAGCTCGGCTCTGACGCGCTCTGCTGCGGTTTTTCTTGTACCCACTGATTAATTTATTTATTTTTCTATTGTAACTTAACTATAACTTAACTATTTTTGTTTTTGAAATATACATGTATGTATGACTGAGGTGTAAGTTGTTTTCCTCTAAGGAATCCCGTAGGTTTCCCACACGCACACACTTCTGTTCTCTTAGAAGGCGCCCTGAGGTAATCTCATAAATCTCTGCACTGGGTCAGCCGGTGAGTAGTCCGCTTGAGAAGAAAAGCGGCTACAAGCTCCTGCCTGATTTTAAATAACTTTAAAAACCAATAATGAAATGAAGATTCTATATACAGTGCTCCTGTCAACATGTGTACATTTCATGATCGGTTGAGCGATTAAGGAGTGAAAGCCAACACACAAACAAACAATCTCACTTCGTCATTTATAGTATTAGTAAGAAAGTAACAATAAGTTAAGATTCAAATCAAATAAATTTTACCTTAATTTCAGCTTTAGCCATCTTTGACGTATTTTTCATCAAAGTTGTAAATGATTCCATGACTCCTGCGCAGTGTAACTTGTCTTTATAACAATCCATGTTCTCCATTAGTTTTCGCAAAGACTTCTCATTGTACGTGAATAAGGACAAACAATACGCAAGGTCACGCCACTGACGCTCTTCTGTAGATAGATTGAATCTTTGGCAAAGTTTTTCAATGAGAGCTTCCATTTGACGATCTTTTTGAATGAGAGATGTTATGTACCTTAAGGTAAACAAGGTAAAGTTGTAGTTAATTCAATAGTTAGTTGTACATTGACAGTTTTTAGGCTATGGACTTTAAGAGCCGTATGATTGATTTTAGGTAGAGTTAAGTTAACAAGAAAATGAACCAGTTATCATAATGAAGACAAGACCGAGTTCACAAGAAAGTGAGATGTTGATGATCTACATTTATAAAGTTAAGTCCATCAACAGCCTTTAATAGTCCACTGCTGGACATAAGCCTCTCCTTAGAAAGGAGGTTTTGGCCTACTATACCACGCTGGCCAGACGGGTTTATATAGGGTTTGTGTCAATTTTTCCTTCTCTCTGCAGTGCTTTTATTCTGTGTAGTTTTTTCCCCTAGTCGGCTCTTACGACACCCACGGGATGAATACTGGTGGTGACACTCTGTATTCTTAATCCGTCACCACATGGAAAAGTCCAAAAAAAAGTCAAGTCCAAAATTGTCTTTTGATAGTTTTTATTATTTGACTGATTGCGTATACGCATTTTAATCCGTACAGGTTACAAGAAAATAATGGTTATATTTATTTTATTGACAAAGATTAGAACTGAAATGTTAAATTTTCCCTTTCAGAGATAGTGAAGAAAGGTTCATCTGGTTATTTTTAATGAAAAATGAGATATTAACGAAACATCTGCAACACTATTTCGCACTACATTGAGGTTTTTTACATATCAGCAATAAAAAGTGAAAATTTACTTTTTAGATTTTCACGAATCTTTAAAGGCTCTCTTGCAAATACCGCGTTTTTTAACATGTCGTTTTGTACGTAAGTCCCTACGTACAAAGTCGAAATATATCTGGGGGAGGTTTACTTTGACTCCTCCTGTCAGATATAGAAGACGCCGCGCTTGATTGTTGCCAACAATCAAGCCCGGAGTCGTAAAATGCTGTGTAACGAAGTTTAGCCTACTTACTTCATAATAATTCTGTATATGTCTTCAGGTACATTGAGTTCGGGGTCACTGAGCCTTGATATGATATCGGGCATTACATTGTACAGTGCGTTGCCCTTCTGTGACAATTGTTTGAAGAACAGCCGTGTCATTGAAGCGACCTTGGGGTCCTTGTCAGCACAGCACAGCGCCATGTCTGCGATTTGACCTTTCACTCGGACCATTTCGTGAAGAACTAAAAACGATAGCATTTTGACAGCGCATTGACGGACTTCCAGCTCTTCATCATTCAATCTGAAATTAAAATAGCGTTATTATACATTTGTAAGTTAATTTGCTTAATTTCGCTGGTACTTGTTACCAACTGTAACTTACACATTCAACTAATTATATTTATAATATACATACATAATATGTATATTTATCTATCACAACCTATACCCGTTCAGAGTAGGCAGAGCGCCCGCTTTCTAGCGCTGTTACAACGATTAAGACATCAGCCTGCGCCCCTTTTACATTAAAAAGAACCTTCATTCTGTTATGGGAGATATTAATTCAAAAGTGTTAATACTGAAAACAATAATGTGTGAACCCCAACTTATACAATCAGATGTCATTCTACGATTTAAGTTTTAGAGTACATAGTATTTTCGAATTGTATTTTTTTATACTGAATATAAGCCAGCCAGGTTTTAAGACCATGGCAATGTGGCATGGTATGATGACAGAATAAAACATCAACTTACATGTGATATATGTGTTGGGTCCAGGGTTGCGTAAGATTAGGAAAACGTAAAGTAAGGTCCGCAAAAGCGATCGTTAAGTTAGTCCTAAGCGACACGTTCTTGGATTTCTTTAGCACAGTCACCATCAGCTGTAATCCATCTTCACAAACTGCATTAGACACCAACATGAATCTAAAAGTAAGAATACGGGATTATTAGTTAATAGATATAGCATGCTATTAGTTATGTCGCGTTTAATGTATATCATCAAGTGACTGTAAGGAATATGTGCGATTATATGATTTCAGATCACAAAAATTACAAACTAAATGCCAAACCTCGGTTTCTAAATTTTGGTTCAGGAAATGGCAGTGGACAAACTTAGGTCTATTCTCTTTCCTTCGCAGATGTTACGGTTAATACAATTTTCTAATTTTTTACCACTATTTTACTTTTAATGCAAAAGTGCTTCGTTTGTCTGTTATCTTTTTACGTTTCAACTATTTCAGAGATCGTCATGTCATCGCATATACGTCGTCAAGAGTACAGGATGGACAATGAATGAGAGCTTTTTTGTTTGTAATAAAGTGTGTGAGGAGATGGCAGTGAGGCAGTGAGGCAGTGACCTGGTGAAGGTGAGCGCGGCGGCGGCCTGCAGGTCGGGCGGCGCGCGCGCGGGGTTGGCGAGCAGCCAGCGCAGCAGCGGCAGGTAGCGCGCCAGCGCCGCGGCGCCGTGCACGATGTCGCGCTCGCACACGTTGCGCACGTACTCCGCGTCCGCGTCGTCCGCCACCGCGCCTTCTAGGCCCGTCTCCTCCTCCGTCATTGTGGTGTTCACCTACCGATATACACGCTCCGAATGTGTTCAGCGAACGACTAGTCGCAACGACTAGCAGCTGGCAAAAACTAACGAGTCATTGTGAGTATATTTTTTATACCGTCACGGTGTAAATAGTTTCAACTGTCTCGATAATGCGTCCCATTTATTTTTGGTTGGTGTTTTATGTTTTGTTTTATGAGGGATATACATTTTGCCTTGTAAATTTATATAATAAAAGCGAGCAACTCGATCGTTCGCGTTAGATTAGCGTGTGCTCGACAGCGTTAGACGATCATCAATCCTCCTTTTCTTTTCTCTAAGAAATTTAGTTTTTTCTTATTTTACAATTTTAGCATTTTAAAAGTTGCAGACATTGTTTAACTTTATTTTAGCCTGGTACTGTAAATAATGAGAAAGAAAATGAACTAAATTGTTAATAGTATGTTTGTTAGTTACCGAAGATCCTTTATTTGAAGTGACACTAGCAGATCGCTGAGCTCTCGAGGAAGCACTCGAATTGCTTAAGTTCATAAGAGTTTGTCGCCGCAGATCGTCCACTCGTCCCCGACGACCGGGTGTAGCGAACGCGCCTGCTTTCTTCTTACGTTTCTCTTCGACCTTCCGTTCTTCGCGAACCTTTAATATTTAAAATATTTCTTTAAAAAAGTGTTTTCTAATGGTAGCAAATATTTGGTAATAAAATAATGGTAGAAAGTTGTAAATAAATTACTCGGACTGAGAAGACAAGTGTATTTTTCACATGAAATATAATTATATAAATACTTTTACATACTTGGTTAAAAAAATGTAAGGCAGCTTTAATTGATATAATAATGTATTTTAATGTTACCGGATCGCTTTTGCTATATTACCTGATTCCTTCGCCTTAGTTCGCTGTACACGCTTACATCAAGATAAATCAGTTGCTGTAGGGCAACGTGTCCTAAGACAAATACAAAGCGCGTTAGCAATTCTGTAGGCAGACTGACATCATCTTGATTATCCGTATCTTTGACCATCGTTTCTTCCACACGTTTGTACATTTCGGCCAAAAGCTTCCCAGTAACTATCTCAGGAGTGTCACAGATCGCGTATATAAAGTCTATGGCATTGGCGGCAAAGGCGGCAAATTTATCGAACTTAGAAAATGTTTCCATGAGACTGTCGATTATGGAGGTTATGATTGTGTGATCGCTTGGGTATCTTTGACCCTTCTTAGATAAAGTCAGTAGTAGCTGAACACTCAGATTTCTGGAAGTGTAGTCAGCTGTAAGACCGTGTGTTTGTATGACGTCAAGGTTAGCGAGCGCTACGGAGGGCTTCGCTTTAGAGATCATGACAAGAAACGAGTATGCCGCGTAACTGTCAGTATCCGTTGTCCCATCTATTTTCTTCAAAAACATTTCCCAAAACACCTGTTAATAATAAAACAAAATATATTTAAATAAATGTATCTGTTAGAATATACAATACAAGAATTTTGCCTTAAATATTAAGTGATATTAGATCGTAAAATTTATAGAACTGCTTAATACTTAACGATAGTTAATGCCCATTACCACGATCTATATTTTGAAAATTCTTGTACGCAATATTATGTAATATAAGTATTGTCTTTAAGGAATTCAAATGCTAAATGCTACATAATTTAATCCGTCCGCAATTTCTCTAAATGTAAAGTGTTAAGGGTTGCTTTCATTGATTCATTTTTGCTATTTAAACAAGCTCCGCGCCCTGACCAAACAGGTTCCAAGCCCTAGTGAAACGATGATTTCTTGGAACCTGATTGGGAGCGGGGTTGATAGATGCGTCACTATTTTCTTAATGGACTAAATAGTTCTATACTGAGTGTTAGGTATACCTGTATGATGGCAGGTGTAATGTCACCTTTCTCCACCCACTTATCCACCAGATGTTCTAGCGCCAGAGCACTGCCGCGGTCGATGTGCAACATCAGAGTAACGAGCTTCTTGGCGATAGCAAATGCACGTGCTCGCTCGACCTTATTGTCGCACTCTAGGTACATATCCCTATAGGCACGTTCAACCGCTTCGCGTTTTTCCTATAAAATACAAAATAAAAGTTTTTGTAAATATGCTTATCCAAAAATAAGTGATGAAGTCTTTATTAATGTTTTCTGTCTATGGTTGCAGGCTATTTGTGTTAATATTTATTATTTTACATAGAAAATATTACCTATGAATTAAGTATACTGGGCGCATTAAAAATCCAACCATAACTTTTACTATACAGTTAAGCTAGCTACAAAGTATAAGAATTAAAGAAATCGCACCTGATCTGGCGACCAAACAAGCATCAACATATTAGCTACACCCGTCTTAGCTGACTCTATATTGAAGTGGTGTGCGGTTGTAAAGAAATCTATTGCCTCGCTGACATCGCCAGCTTGCTTCGACATTAGTAACGCATTCACTACGGGTACTGCTTCTGATACCATTCGGCTAAAATGTACAGATTCTTGGAGAAATGCGACTATGTGTTCTTTTTCTTCGACTCGTTTGTATATCGCTAACTCTTGCTCACATTGTTGTGTAAGCGATATGGATTGCCTTCTGTCTGGTATAATGAATATGTTGCGGAGTAGAGCTACGAAGTAATTAATCTGAAATTTTAAGATAGTTGACATAGAGGTTTGAAACTTTTATTTTGGTATGTTACTTTGCAGATAAACAACACTAAACAAATTAGGTAACAAATAGTTGGTAGCGAGGGTTTGGAGCTCATAATATTTACTGTAAATTTTACATTTAAACTGAATAGCACAATTATTTCAAGGAAATATTGCAGAAGGAAGATGCTCCGAAAATTATTAAATAAAAATTATTTTTTGAGAACTCGAGAGAATTCACTGACAAAATATACATTCAGGCGAAGCCAAGCCTTAGTTAAGCCTAGTATTGAAATAAACACGTCAAGTACCTGGTCACTTTTTTCCATATCGCATCTCAGCAACTTAGCGTCCGGATACTGCCTTTCAGTGTATTTTACGATCAAATAAGCTTTATAATAATTCTTCTGACGTAAATGTTTACGTATTGATTCATACAAGTTATCCAAGGAGGCTTGTGATAACTCAGGTTCGTCTTGCGTCAGTACGTTTATACTATTTTGGATGGAACTAACTACTTCACTTTCAATTTCTACCCATTTCTTAACTAAATCCGCATCTGGGCCAGGATTAATCTTTTTCTGCAAACCTTCCAATATTTTCTGTTCAGTCTGAAGTTGTTCTTCAAGTAATTCTAATTTAAGTTGCGCAGAAAAAGGGTTACATTCTAAAAATATCTGTAATAAAATTAATGAATATTATATGTATACACTCACAGTCAACACAACAACTGGTCGCTTTGTCAATGTAAAATAAAAAAAAAACATATACTGTGTCTGTCTGTGTCAATCTATAAGCTAAGCTTGTTTTTTTAGGGCACTCTATAATACCAGAATATTTTTTCAATTATGTCCGTGTTTGTCGAAACTACTTAATGAATTTAAATGAAGTTTTTCCATGGTTTGTGTATAGAGTTTAAAATTCATTTTATCCTATAATTTAGCATGGTTTCCCTGAGAAGGGGGCTGAGTGAGAGTCAAAATGTTTCTAACTTAGTTATAATTAATTCATTAACACGACACACCCAAACTCTACGAATTCATTTGTAGAAATACTACTAATATATGAATATTTTTATAATAAATCAACTACCCGATGTACGCATATGAAATCGCAGGCTGCAGCTGTAGTAAATATTTAAGGACATTACAGTTTTCAATGAGATTACTGCTGTTTGAGTGCATAATTATGTACTGACACCAAAATGGTAAGTGAATAATGTGTTACTTACTTTGAGTAGTTGTATGGCTGCTTTCCGTACTAGTGCTGCCTTGTCCTTGAGTCGTCCGATTGCCCGTTCTAATACAGTGCGCTGTCTACTCACTGGCACGCAATTCTCTCGTTGGAGTCGACACCAGAATTGAAGCACCTGATCAAAGCAATTTCAAAGTAAAACTAGTAAGCATATTTCAACAGTTACAAAAACTTCTGTTTTCTTGAGACTATAATACACACCTTATGACGTACGTAGGCTGACAAGTCGTGCATATGTTCGTGCAGGTCGTCAAGAAAGTCGTCGCGCTGTGTGCGCTGCTCTTCCGTCAGCTCCTCACCGCGAAGCTCCACACTCAGAACTTCGCACATCATGCCTAACACGCTGATGCGCAGTGTGTACGACTGTCATATAAATATCTTTATGACATACCACTTCAAAATATTAAAATTTTAGTTAGTGGTAAACATTTATTGGGGTATATGATATTGACATCAACAGAAACAAGGCATTCTCACATCATATTATTATGTGAGATATACATTAATCATGTGAAACCAATGAACAAACCTCATCACTTTCAAGATATGGTTGAATGGTAGCAATAGCACTTGTCATCTCCTTGGGCAGTTCTTTAGTAAGTTCTAATAGGAAAGCGCCGCAGTTACGTGCTGCACCCTGTTCGGCGCCAGCGCCCGCATTTTCCTCCTCACTTGAAGCTAATGCCTCTGCTATTTCACGCACCTGCAAAGAGCAACATTTTTAAACCTAAAATTTTCTTATGATTTGTTTTAGAATGTCAATCCTCCCAAAGTACTTAGCCAATTTAGATTGGTAATAGCCTTGCATAATTTAAGAATATTAATTTATAAATTATATTTAGGATCTTACCATTTGGGGCCCAAATGTTCCAATTCCAAAATCTTTGGTTAATTGTACTACTCCTGCACATATAGGGGAAACTGCATGTTCTGCCATTTGGAGAACCTGTAAAAATTTGCTGGATTTTCAGGGGCGGCCTTTATAGGGTGCGAGCAGGGCAAACGCCTGGGGTCTTGCACACTCCGGCAAAACTCAAGTAGAAAAATCATCTAAGAAAATATATCAGAAAAAGGCCTCTCCTTAGAAATGAGGTTTTGGCCCATTATATGACGCTGGTCAGATGGGTTGTTAAAGGGTTTGTTTTAGGTTTTCGCTCTCTTGGCAGTGCTGTTGTACTGTGTAGTTTGCTCCTTTAGTCGGCTCTTACGGAGAATCCCTGAACTGGACACCCACGAGATGAATACGTTCTGGGATTCTCGTGTTTCATTCAGACAGGCCTGGAATCCTATCAACTGTCATAGGCTTATGCATATATTTTCGAGTAGCAGTATATTTTTCGTTGCATTTTTGTTCCAAGCATCATCAATAAAACTATTTCCATCAAGACAAGGGCCTCGCAATGGCTAAGGCCGCCACTGAAGATATTAATTATTACTGGTACTAATAAACTACTTTTGCAATTTTTTTATAGTAATCTTGTTTAAAACAGTTAAATTATTTTATACCTGCACCAATTTGATAAGACATGAAGTTCCATGGTTATATTTTTTAATCAGAACTCCAATAACTTGAAACACAGATTCTCTTACTGATTTGTTCTTTATTATTTGTTCCTCAAGTGCTTTGTAACAGGGCTCTGCTACCATTCTGGAAAAGAAAAAAATAAACTCACCTGCTCACAAATACTGTAAATGGATATTATTCTTTCTTAACTCACAACAGAAGGGGGGGTTTTATAGAATAGATTATGCTACTGCCAATTTTTTGGTCTACTAACTACACAATAAAAGGCGCCTTAAAATGTAACGTAATTTATTCGTGGCCCCTATGCTCCCTACCATATTTAAAAAGAGAAACAAATAAAACAGACATCAGAAGAAAACTATCATAAGAGGCCTAGTGACCTATATTTGAAATAAGTATTGATCATAGGTGTACTTACGAAACAAAATTATCCTCTGCCAAAGGTGGGTCCCACAGTTTAGACAATGGTTGTTGCAATAACAAATGTAGTGTCACCAAAGCAGCCTGCTTATCAGATTCGGTCCAGCCAGATATTTCATCATCATCAGCTGTTGCTTTTTTACCTTTTTTTCCGAGTGTGAGCTTAGTTGAATTCTGAAAGAGTATATAATTAAAGTATAAGGGAATAATAATAATTTCACATTTCACACACAGCAGTGTGATCCCAAACTAGGCAGAGCCTGCACTATGATAACCAGACTGCTGATAAACTTACCTATATATTTCTAAATATGTACATACTATAGATTAATTGCACACAGCCACAGAATAAATGGTTATGCCCATCACACAATATTTTTTCTGGGTGGGAATGTAACCCATGACCCCAGCTTAGCAGTCAGGGTAACTAACCAATAGTCTTGTCAAATGTGCGAGTAATTTAATACTTTTAGAAATAATTTGAAGAATACAGGCATGAATTTTAGCATATTTATATTTGCTAGTTTCTAGAGCAGGGTCACAGATAGCATGCTAACAATACCTCGGCTGTTACTGATATACACTGGTAGCTAGAATGGACCTCTATATGTACAAGTGAAATGGTATTTTAGGTAGTAAGTTATCAGGAATTTATTGTGCAACTTTAATTTTTTTAGAACTTATGTCCATTATTTTATGCTTTTTCTACTATTTCTGTGTAGCATGCTATGTATTTATCCATGAGCCCATGCACATACGCATAGGCAGTATCCATAAGAAATCAAAATATGAACATATTTCTCGTTTGTATAGGTCATCATCTCCAACAGCATCAGAAGCACAAATCCAAGTCCACTTAGGAATAGTTAGTCACGAATAGAAAACGAAACAGTCCAAAAATACAAGCCAAGTTTTCAACTAGGTACTACCGGGTTGTACACTAATTTTAGAAACTTTTTTATGAAATAAATATAGTTTGAGTTTTACATTTTGAATTCTATAGTTAATTATGTCTTTCCCTTTCAAAGCATATTTTTACTTTTTATTTCTCTTCTCATGGTACACATTTCAAAAGATAACAAAGAAATTGTTGTGTTCAAAAATATAATATTACTTATGTATAATATTATATACACATCTGGTACATAAAAGATTATCCATTCAAATTAAAAGGGTTTCACTTGTATGTAAGAAAAAAAAACCTGGTATAAAACAGGTTTGTAGTATTAAGTAAATATATATATTTTTTTAAGCTTACTTACATCAGCAGCCAATTTAGTGTCCTTTGTTTTCATTATTTGTGTAAACAAATACATTATCATTTTTAAAATGTTTAGGTTCTTCGTTCGCAGATCAGTTTCAATCTCATGATCTTGGAGTATTAGTTCTAAATGATTGCACAAATTTTTAGCACCTCTCACTATGTGATCAAAGCCTAAATTGCAAAAATAAAAAAAAAAGTTAATACATAAACTGATAGTTATTAAGTATAATTTCTCTATAACATTTATTTACCTCTATTAATTATATTCCATTCCAATTTGTTACCATGCACTATGATGGAGAAATAGGTATCAAAGTGTTCCAAGATATATTCCACGCCTTCAGAATTATAAGCGCGGGCAGCATCTAGAGTAAAGTATTTTGATGAACACGACTGCTTAAAATAATATTAATACTTATTTATGTTGGAAACAATAAAACTTCACTACCTTGTAGTTTTGAAAGTAATACGCGCGGTTGCACAATATCCTCCACATGATATTGTCCTGCATGAGATTCCAACAATTCATCTTTTTTCAGGGGTATAGCAAATTCAAAGTGACTCATCTTAAAGCGTAAAATATGTTATAACTGCTTAATTAAGAATCAGTTACAATCAACAATAACAAATATGAACAAATCCGTTTATTTTGAAATTGTCGTTTAATGTTGCCATTTAACTCACTGAAAAGTAACGACATCATTGTCATCGAATTGATCTGTCGATTAATTTTTCAATTTTTATCGGACGTGTATAATAATAAAGAACATCTAGTTCCAAGCTAACCAATCCTAACATTTGGTCCGATCCGAGAATCGATAAAGCAAAAAAATATAAATTGGTTTATTTGTTTCTGAATACTGAAAAGTTTTTTTTACAAAACGAGCTACATTTTGTCAGATTTTAGTAAAGTAGCAACACTGACATCAACAAAATAGAACCCACATACTATGTACATTTCTCTTAATCTGTGATAGAACCGTTTTGCACTAAAACAAAACGTATGCTATGTGCTGAAGAAGTCTGAAGCTGTCTGTGATCTTGGACTAATTTATGCATTACCCACCTTTATTTGTAGTTTTACCTGTTTAAATTTATTTAATGGACAGTAATACAATGTAAAATGATAATCGTATTTGTAAAATAAGTTTATCAGACTTATAATGTTAAAACACTGTGTCTCATTTCTTTCTTTGGTTGAACTGTGATTCATTAATTTATTTAACTTTAAATGATTAAAGAGGTAAAACGTTTATTTATAGATAATGCTTTTATTTTAAATACAATTTAGCTTAATTTTCCAACTTTAATTTATTTTTTTATACACCAATTGCCATTTTGTTTACATGATGTTTATCAGTTGAATTTATTTAGTTTAAACTGCTGTCGTTTAGAATTCCTGCTAACAATTACTTTGTTACTTGTGCATTTAAACATTTACACAGCTTTTAAATATTTACCTCAACTTTTTGAGCTATGTTTTGTGTATGTGTCACATGTATTACACCCAATTTGGTTGCGAAATTTCTTTCTGTTCTACGATCAAAACTATGCCCACTTCACTATAGCCAATTGTCGCTTAGCTAAACAGAGACAGAGGGAACTATCAGGCATCTATTTCTCTCGTTGTCTGACATGCAATTTTTATTCTGAACCTGAGCCTTTCCAAACTTTCCAAAATTAGCTCTGGGCCAGGCATTAGCTTTTTTTTATGTCGGAAAAGAGAGGACACTATTTCGTGAACAAGTTTATTTCGGCAAAAACTTTTAACTCTTTTTCAGGCGTAAGGTTTCCTCTACACGCTTTATATTAGCTTCACTTGTATGTTTGTTTGTATGTTTGTAACCAACTCTTTTGGGCGTGATTTTGACTGACTTTAAACGGTCAGAATTCGTTCAAACTTTGTAAATATATCGAGGACCGATGACAATACACTAATTTAAGAAATAAAAATGAAAAAAAAAAACTGCCTTTTACTATTGACAACAGGCACCCAACGCTTTTTTTTCAAATTCATTTTCTATTTTTTAGTTTGGTTTTCTATAGAAAGCGTGTTTTTTAGTTTTTTAAAACTATAATTTTTTTACTTGTTTTTCTGTCACTTAAAAAGCATTATTCTTCCATAAAAGACCTATATGATGCAAAGATTTATACTAAAATGTGATTTGTTAATGAGAATTGGTGGCCCGTCTTCCTATCGCAGGGAGGGCACAAGTGCCCTTCAGAGTTTGTGCCCTTAGTTGCTGTTTACAATACCCACTGAATGAATAGGGGTGATGACATTCTGTATTCTTAGTCCCCTAATTATTTGGAGTTAGATGAAGGAAAACCTACTTTAAATCGATATCGAATGTAAATAGACATAAGGCAGCGTAAATTGGTTAAAAAAAAACAACACGAAAGCTGTTTGAAAGGCTAGAAAATATATAAACATTTACAAAACCATAAAGAAAAATAAAATAAGTTTTCAGGATTTCATGATTTCGATTCTACACTTCAGAGTGATTTTCTTTTTTTTTCTTTCCTTTCCTATAGTTTTCATAATACTATTGTTATATTACTCCTATTATTTTTGTGTTCCCATAAATAATATTTAATAGAAGAGAGATTTAAACATTGTTTCGATATTTTTCAGTAATAGCAATATTTTTGACACGTTGCTTACATGTCATTTGACGTTTGACTTTCGCTCGCCAGCACACAGGCCAGCTGAAGTGGTGGCATAAATTTGGGCTGTTGATTTACCACCAAGTTTAATTTGTGCAGTTTCTCCGTGTTATCTATAAGTGTATTACTGTTTAATTTATTAAAATATGTCGAGCAAAGGTAACAAAGCATTCACGAAGGAAGAGGAATTATTGCTGCAAGATTTTAGCAGAAATGTTTCAACAAAATCATCAGCCCTATTTTATGGGAATGCCTTTATCGTATCAGCTATTCCTATTTGTAAGTAACAGTGAAGAGTATTTTTGATATAATTTTACTAGGAATAGCCATACTTTCTTACATCAATCACGTAATTGGTACTTGCCAAAGTCATGATCGGATGTATTATTTTAAAGGGTTATTCTGGAGGGTACACGCTCTGGAGGTAAGCCCTTCCTTGGCGTGGTTTGCGATGGTGACGACGGCGAGTACTTGGTTACTGGCTTTAGCGTACCGTAACACCAAGTTCCAACTGAAACACCGTGTTGCTGTCCGAAGACAGGACGCTGTTGCCCGCGAAATGGCCCGTGAGCTTGCAGATGACAGAAAAATGAGCCGGAAGGAGAAGGATGAGAGGTAATACAACTATATTTAAACTTAGTATGAAAATTTATGTAAAATAAACGTGATCTCTTGATAATAACAAATTATATATTATTAGTTAATTAATATTATTAGATAAAGTCTGATTTAAATCCAGAGGCATAGATTTAAATGAGACAATATTATCTGATAAGTTTTTTTTTCTCTAACAATAAATCATAAATGCTTATTATTTCTTCTAAATGTTAATTCTAATAATTAAATTTCCAGGATCTTGTGGAAGAAAAACGAAGTGGCTGACTATGAAGCTACCACATATTCAATTTTCTACAATAACGCGCTGTTTCTGACCATCGTCATCCTCAGCAGTTTCTACCTCCTGCGCTCTTTCACACCCACTGTGTATCCTTTTAAAACTCTTATCAATAGATGACATATAAACTCTTAATTGCCCGGTAAAAAATGAAACAATGAAATCCATACTTATAGTCCATCTAATCCAAGAGGTACCGTTTGACGTTTCATACTTTTCAAGACGAAACAAGTTTGTATAGGCGTAACTCACACAATTTCACACACCTTTTCCGTAAAACTTTGGAATCATGAAGCTTTTTTTTATTTTACCATAAGATATAAAATTCATAATGACTAAATTTAAATATTTGAAACAAAGCAAAATAAACACATTTTCAAATCAGACCAGTGCTAGTACCTGAGATTAGCGTGTTCAAGCAACCAAACAAACTCTTCAGCTTTATAATATTATAGTATAGAAACATAAATCTGTAAAACTGTAATTGATTAGTACCTACTAAGAAATGATATTGGTATCTCTTAAAAAATTGGATGTTGTGAAATCAATTTGTTTGACCCCATCACTGTACAGTACCTCTTAGATTAGATGGACTATATTAGCCATATTAGCTTTACCCATTACTAGCTATGTAATGAAATCTTTCAACATAGTTTTCATCAACTACAGGTAGGTAATCAGATAAAAATTATGTTCCCTTCCAATTTCAGAGGAGACATACATTTGGTGAATGTGCATATGTTAATTTTTCCTAGTGAAGTTATCCATTTATAGAATTACTAGTAATAAAAAGAAATTATAAGACACAAATAAGACTGATTAATCTGAACAGTATTTAGTGATTGATTTTATTATTAGAAAATTCATCTATTTAAATAAATAGTTTTACAAAACAAAAATTTTACAGTTTAGGAAACAAATCAGAAAATTTCAGCTTTTAAATAAATTTTAATTTTAGAATCTTAATTCAAGAATACCTAGTTGTTAGATTTGATGTTCTTTTCTTTTATGGAAGTATATCAAGCTATAAAAATATATACATGACCGGCTGTGTCTATTACACAGGTTAGTTTAAATAAATTATTCCTTAACTCAATCACAGTAACTACATTGTCTCCCTCACAGTTGCCTCAGGACTTCTGGCTCTGCTCTCCACCGGTACTAAGTGAACACAAAGTAAATATGAATGAGGTTGCCACCTAAAAGGTCAACAATATTTTTGTCTTCAAGATCAGAGAGTGGTAACTGAGTGAGTGATTGGTGACACTTGTTACAAGACTTCAGCACATATGTCTCTCTGTTTTAAAGGGGCATATATACTGAATTTATGGTTATTTATGTGTTTCCATTAAATAAATATAGATTAATTTTATAATTTAATTTTAATAAAATAACTGAAAACAGTCTTTTGTTTTATTTACAAAATTTGCAAAGAAAAACTAATTTCTAATTTATTAATTGTAAGTAGTCTAATAACTAGTCTAACAGCTGTTCTTCTTATTCAGGGTGGGTTATGTAGTTTTAAGTTTTAAATCACAAACATTTTTTGTTTTCACTCAAGTTCAAACATTAACTTTACATTGTAATACATGAGAAAACTACTGCTGTATAAAGCACACAACTGTTTAGTGAAGAACGCACAAATTTTAAAACATCGATAAAAAAAAACGGTACGTAATTATTTTATACAATTTGACTAGATAATTAATCGTTTAGGTTTTTTGAGGTGTAAAATAACCAATTTCATAATTTTGCTACACTAATGTCTGCAGAGTGGCAAATACTTAGAATTTTAAATAATTTGTTGCTAAATTATTTAATTCTGTAGCAGAATGTATGCAGTGTTACTGTATGCAGCAGTAGGCAAAGGTCGACGCAGTCTGGTTAACGTTGCTTGCAGCCCGGTGAGTGACGTTGCAAGTGAAGTAATTTTCGCGCTGCAAAAGCCAGTGTTCTTCTTCGGAACTGTGGTTTGTCAGGGGCTCAGTACATCATGCCGACGTGCAACGGTTCCGTTCGCTGGAAGTACACGTTGGGGTTGCTGCTGAAGGTGGGCTCCACGCTCGTGTACACGTTGCCCTCCTCCGGACGCACCATCACGCCTGTACATTTATAAATATTTATTAGTATTTTTTTTAAGAATAATCTTTGTGTTTTTTTGACTATTTTGTGTTACAAACAAATTAATTAAAAGTCTAACTAATTTAATTTGTGTTTGTTTCGTTTAACTAAGGATGACTAGATGAATATATTATCTAATCTGTCGTAGTGTTTAATTACAAAAATGGGTAGGTAAACTTTAAATCTATATAAGTGTATGTAGTATACTTATTGGGAATAGCTACAAGGCCTTTGCTTAAAAACAAATAGGAACAGAGTGCATTTTAATACCAAGCGAGTGTGATGATATAATAGTTACCTGGCGGTAAAAGATAAGGATAGGGCGGGTAATTGTAGTGGTAATTTAGCATTAGTGGGTGCATTGTGTAGTGCGGCGGAGAGTACAGGGCGCGTGAGTGCGGGTGCGGCGAGTTCGCGAACAGGGCTCCATAATCTGCGAAAAGAATGTGGCGGTCGCGGTCAATTTGTGTGCGGAAGCGCTAGTTCTTACTAATAGCGCACGTTAGATACTTAACTAACCGGCTGGCTGAGCAGGCTCCTTACGGTCGAGCACAGGAGGCGGGGGCGGCACTACCGCCGCCGCTGACACCATGCCGTACTTCACCGGTTTGAAGTGGAAGAATGAGGGTGAGTAGCCGGAACCGCCAGCCCCCAGCGAGCTCAAACCCTCATCACGATCTGCGTCCCATCGGCCTTCGCGGCCTAGTGCAGCTAATCTTCGACCCTTTGGCCCGAACATGAGTGCGAACACCACCGCGCAAGTGGCAAGCAAGCCGGCGGCTACGCACGCGTCACGGTGATGCTCGGGTGCGCCTAACGCCGCTGCCACCCAACACACCCATATCGCTGCCGTTGCACCACCTGCACCCGCGATGTGTGTAGCTTCGCGGTAGTTGTCACGTATACCACGAGATCGCAGTGCGACAGCACACACTACGGCGATGAGGAAGGCTGCATAACACAGCGAAAGTAGAAAATCCGACATGTATACGTCGCATTTACCTCCGCCACTCGCAACTTTTGGAGGTGAGCCGCCGAGCCACTGAGCACCAATTGCCACTTGTATCATAACAGCAAAAAATAATAACAGTCCTTGGTATGCTGCTGGCAAATATACACCACCATTTAAACTCAGTAAGAATACACATTTGACGAGTAATGAAGCAAACACGATAACATACGCAACCCCCGTTCCAAAACGTACAGCTCCACACGTGAACGGGGTCGGTGTGGTTGCGAACAATGCTGCTGTAGCCGCGCACGTGAATAGTCCAAATAATAACGTCTGTCCCAACAGCAGATAACGATGACTTGGGGCCTTACGGCTCGCTCCCCATATCACAAATGCCTCAAAGGCTCCGAGTGTCACCATACTTACGCAAGCCAACGCTAATATAGGAACCGCCCAGGATTCTGACCTGAGGGCTCCTACGCTTGTAGAAGTTGGTGCGATTATGAGAGTTCGATTCGGTCTTGGCGTTGGTGTCACTGCCGTCGATGTCGATGGAGGTGGTATCGATGAACTACGCGCGGGAATAACGAAAAATTCAGTGCTCATCTCTAGCCGGTGTGCTTCTGTACGAGCAGGAAGGCGCGGTCTCTGGGCCAGTTTATGGAGATCTTCTTCTTCTTTAGTTGAGAGGTTTTGTTCCTTAGAGTTTTGTTCGTAATCTTCATAGTCATTGTCGGCGAAGTGCTGGGCAGAGGGCGCGTTGCGCGGCGCGTAGGCGGCAGGCACGCGTGGTGCAAGTCGGTCCCCAAAGCGGGCACCAGCCTGGGCACTTGCGACCGCTGTGACCGCCGCCATAACTACCAGCACACGAACGACTCCTTTCGCCATCAGGCCGCCGGGGCCGTCAGCTGCCGGAGTCTCGCTGCAGACTCATTCGCGTATATCTTTCGATCTCTGAAACAGATAAACGTGGCGTCAGTTAAGCGGCGACATATCCGTCTCGGCTGCAGTCGCGACGTCTCGACTCTGAGATAGCCAAACAAAGAATCTCACGACTAAACCGGTTTGACAGTCGCTTTGCACCTCCTAGGAGCCCTAACTCAACCGATTTGGTATTCCTCATCGTTTTATTTTACGTCGTTAAGATTGAAAAAACCGAGTTAACACTTACATTTAGAATGCCCGCTTCACTGCTTGCATATGCAGGGAACGTGATCACGAATGAATTTAGCTATGTATTGTATTGCATATTTTCAAAGTTTAGAGATAAATCGCAATTACCTAATGCGTTTTGTTTTGTGATTTACCATTGCGAGTAGGTAGTATCTCACATCTTATCTTAGTTCAACATTATATTTAAATCTGGAGTTATTCCTTAGGAACTTAGTGTATCTTAATTTTAATATTATCTTAGGTCATTTGACAGAATTGAGACAAACCGAACAAAACTTGAACTCTAACTGCAGGCTTATAAGTCGCTGTTAACTTTTTGTTGAACAAAGTAAATGTTTTCTGTCTTTCTTTTCTTGTAGACTCTTATAGGTATTATGGGTTCTAGATACAAGGATAAACATACATAAATACATACACACACACACACACACATATGTACCTATATGCATATATATTATACACAAACATTTAAAGCAATATAAATAGATAAATTAATAATAAAATAGATAATCCATACAAATATATATAAGCTCAGAGTGGTAATCGACGCCGCGATCCACGGCAGAGCAACCGCATACACCACATTATACAAAAGAGAATTGCTCGTTTAAAGTTAGGTTATAAGACAATAAGTATAAGTATAGGTAGGAGTAATTTATAGTTACTTTGTTAAATCTTTCTTTGATCTTTTCAAAAAGTCAACTTCCGCACTAGGAATATATTTGTATGTCACGGGGGATTTCTCAAATATACATTAAACGGACACAAAGAACACCCAGACTCAGAATAACAATTTGTGAATCACACAAAGTGTTGTCCAATGTGGATCGGACCCACAACACTCGGCGCAGTAGGAAGCAGCGGGGTGACCGCTAAAACCACTACGCTACAACAAATATACCGCTAAAACAAATATATAAAGTTTAACGAACATGTATCAAATGAATCGCTCACGTGATTATTACTTATTTCGTGTTTTTAACTTCGAAAATGAAGAGCGGCCACCCAGCCGTTCATCCCTTATTTGACCCCTTTAGGGGTGCAATTTCCAAAAATCGGGTGGGTGTCCACAACATAATAGCATCAGCTCCCAAAATTTCAAGTTTCTTGCCCCAGCGGTTTAGGCTCTGCCTTGATGAGTCAGTCAGTCAGGGCAAGTAACTTTATTTGTACAGGTTTTAGAAATTAGTAAGGACCCGAATGACACAATAAAGTCTAATTGCCGCACTTTGACGTTAGTTTTTTATTTAATTATCATTTAAAATAAATGATATAAATGATAAGAAACATTGAAACATAACACGATAAGTAAGGTTTGTAGAGTGTTACACGGACGACAGACAGTCAAAAGCAAAAATTATTAACCGACTTCCATAACACAAAAGAGGAGGTTCTCAATTCGTCTGTATTTTTTTTTAAGTATGTTTTTGGACCGATTTTCAAAATTATTCTTGTAATCGAAAGGGTATGCTCTCGAATTGGTCCCATTACCACCAATTCAGGATCTGATGATGGGATCCTAGAGAAAACGAGGGAAACCCTCACAGTTATTGGGAATTTGACAGCCCCGACAACGTGTTTTAGCTACGAGTATTTCCTATGTATGAGTATTTCTTTAGCCAAACAAACCATGGCAACCGTCAGAGACTGCGCGATGTGATGCGCAGAGAACTTGAAGTTTTTATGTCACCACAGTAATTTTCGTTGTATTAAGAAGAAAAGGTTGAAATTTTGTATTCTATCTTGTTAAAATAATTCGGATAGACGTTTTGTTGCTATGGATGACATCGCATTTCGTTTGGGAATAATTTTATACTTAATTTATTAAAATAGTTCTGGAAAAAACCCTTAAATTTTGTGTGGGTCAACTTTCTAAGGAGAGGCCTATGTCCAGCAGTAATTTAATATAATATTTAATATAATCTAACAAACTACAGTTTGTTACTATACATTACGGTACGTAGTGTTTTAAATATCGTACTTATCTACTCATTACAAACATATCCTACACTAAAAATGGTAAAATAAACCCTTTTAAAAAAAAAGTTGAACCGGCTTCAAACAACACCGACAAAGAGCACTAAAAATTAAAAAATAATTACAAATCTAAGTAAAAAACTATAATAAGTACCCTCAATGTAACAGTAACATTATAATACCAATAGTCCCTTCTAGTCTGTTTGAAGTCGGTGCCAAGCTCGATGCACAATAAGTAATACTGGTCTATGTCAGCTTTATATTAGCACAATGAAAAATTAAGAATTCAAAATAATTCTAATGAAACATCGAAGATTTTGTTTATTAATAAAGACCAACCAGATCAATTACGTGCGCAAACTTATCAACTACTTATTAAAGCATTCAAAATAATAATATAATTGGAGATGTGCGTCCACTTTAGCTCGTTCAACATGTTTTGTGCAGCATGAAGACTGTTGCAGCTGCCGCGCTACATTCTACCATGCCTATCAAGCACCTATTTGGCTTGGCACCGACTTCAAACAGACTAGAAGGGACTATTGGTATTATAATGTTACCTGTTACATTGAGGGTACTTATTATAGTTTTTTAGTTAGATTTGTAATTATTTTTTAATTTTTAGTGCTCTTTGTCGGTGTTGTTTGAAGTCGGTTCAACTTTTTTTTTTAAATGGTTTATTTTGAAATAAGTAGATGAATATCGCGAGACCCAGGTCTCGCGAGGCAATCTATTAGCGTATTATATCACCACGAGAACCATATAAATGTAACTCTTAAATGTGAATACTTTAATTATACTTATCTAAAAATGATTAGTACAGTTGTTTAAGAAAAAATTAACAAGTAATAAGAACATGGAACAAGAGGAACTTAAACAAGCAAGTTGGTGAATGATGGTGAAGGTGAAGATAGAATAGTCAAATAGTCTAGAAAGCATTTATATAATAGATAGACACAATAAAACTTGAAGCGAGATATCTTGACAGATATCGTGAATACTTTATTGATTTATTTTTATGTTACTATTCTACATATGTCCCGTGATACTTAATTATTCTTTATTAGTAGGAGTAAGATAGACTTAGATTCGTTTGAGGGGAAGAATTTCCATATTTCGAAGAAGGATACCTTCTTCGAAATATGGAATCTAAAAACGGAATATTCGTTAGCTGTGATACCCAGAGAAATATCCATACGGGCTCAAACGCTCAGTAAATTCCTTTCGCTTGCTAAGCGTGACGCGCCGTATTAAAAATGTTTACCTAAAGTCATAATAAAACAAGAGAAAAGTGAACTGCTTACTTATAGTCCATTATAGCTTGGAACCTTAGTGGTCAGGGAATGGCAGTGAATGGTTTTATAGATTTTATCGCAGGCGGAGCTGCATGTACACAGTAGCGGCCTTAGAGGGTGGCGAGTAGGACAACCGCACTTCGTTCAACAATCTAAATAGTAATTTTTTGATGGCTAAGGTCATATTGGTATAGGGTTTGGATCAAGTTTTCCTTCTCTTTGCAGTGCTGTTGTCCTGCATAGTGTGTTCCCTTAGTCGCGTCTTACGACACGAAAGTACACGTAACACATTTCAATCTGAAAGCGCCATGATCGATGAAGGGAACTAAGTATTTAATATATGTGATGTTTTAAGGATTAATTTATGTATATGGGACTAATCCCTCCCACACGCCCACCATTGTAACTCCTGTACACCGGGATCGACAGCAGTGACCCACGAACACACCTAGTTATGACACTCGGGAAGTCCTAGGAAAAAATTATACTGTCTTGGAACCTTGTATGTATATACAACACTACGGTAAGTTCATGTTTATTATCCTGCAGGCGTTAAAATATAACATTACTACCTACCTTCCATTAAACTACATAAATAAATATAGATACTAATTAGGTATATCAGCCTGGTAAAGATACACTTCCAATAGATTTACATATTTGATCTTGCATCAAATCTCCTGTGGAGGGTTAAAACAGCAAATCAGCCTTGACACAAATGTAGTCAAACACACTAACGGTAATATCTTATAACTTGTTGCCGATGTGCCCTTAGAAAATAAATTCACAGTGACCGCATTCGTTTCAAAGATAGCTTCGATATAAAATATGCATCTTCCTTACAAGGCAACCTCTAATTCACCAGAGAGATTACTAAGACAGCTTCACGGAACCGAATCGTGACTTTAAACTTATTATCTGAATCAAAGTACATAAAACATAACGTATTGTAGGCAGATTTGGTGCGAAAGTAACGGTGTGTTGAGGCAGCGGCGCTGGCTCTGTTGCCCATCCGACAATCGTACGAGCAAACGATGCAGCTGGCAACGGGACCTGAGTAGTGTTATCTTAAATCACTTCCAAATCTCCTCGTGAACCGTATCCAGCGATGGCATCGCATTTTGTTTTATTTAGGTACTGTGTGTACCTGCCATACCTGAGAATTACATTCCAATAATTGCAAAACACGAAATTAGGCCGTTAAAGGGTAACGTATACCAATTTACAATTTTAGTAGTAGTTTAAAAATTACAATAACTCTGTTATGATTATTATATTTTATTAGTTATCATTTCAGTCTGAATGCTCGAGGTGCATTTTTAAGTAAATTGTTTAAGTCTTCACTTCGCCTATTTAATTAATGAATGTAAATTTGCATGTTCGATTTCACATCCAATAGGGTAAATTTTGTTTTTTAAATTTATTTCAGTTTGCTTTGGTGAAGGCAATATTGTGATGTCTGAATAATCAGTTAGGTTAATTCTTTAAAATTTTCTTTACTTCCTCGAC